TTCAAGTGAAGTGATTGTTCGCGTATTTGGAAAACATTGAAAAAAAATATGATGGAACGTGAAGTATCGGATACTGAGGGAATTTTTTCCCGAAGGCTGACACATAATTGGGCTGAATTACCAACAACTTTGCGACGACGTCAGAAACATCGTCCAGAAATTCTCAGTCAATTTACCGATTTTTCCGAATCCTCGGAAAATGAATTACGAAAAGTTGAAACAAATCCAACAAACGTTCAACGAATTGTAAAAAGATCGGAATTTTTACGAAAATTGGAACTCAATGAAATTCGTAAAAATGATTTGAATCATCATCATCATCACCATCATCATCATCATAATCAAGAGAAAAATGATCGTCGTAAATCGACACCCGATCAATTTTATCGACCGCCAAATGATTGCAAGAGTAATAACTATTATGACAAAGAAAAATTGGGTCAACAAAGACGAAGTCATTTCACGAAATTTGATTACAAAAACTTTTCTGATGACGAACGTAAAACAAATTCGCCTGACAGTCTTCTTGTGAAATCATCCGAATCAGAATCAAGTAGTGATGAATATGGACACACTGACGATTCGGGTGCATTTTTGGAAAAAGTTTCCAATTTTGAACGTGGCTCAAGATTGAAGAAATATAAAAATCGAATTTTATGCGAACAAGGATTACATAGTAATGGATTTATTAAATTTTTTGCAAAGGACGAATGGAAATTAAAAGGCCTCGAGGAGAAAGCTTCTTCCACCACCACGGAGGTGAATAAACTTGATGTAAATAAAAATATACGTAAAAATTCAAAGACTGATACGTCATCAAATATGAGAATTTTCGGTGTTGGCAGTGATGATTCATCATTAAAATCAAAGGACAATAAGAAGGATTATTTGGCACAAAAATATGAATACGAAAATATACCGAGAATTGACATTTCAAAATTGGATCAAAAATCAAATAATCATAAGGATTTTGATGAGTCAAATCATCATCAACCGACGACAATTGAACAGCTTCGAATTGAACAAGGTTGCCAGCTGAGAAATACCAAAAATTCTGTTATTTCACAACAACAGGGTAACAGATCATGGAATAATAATGCTAAAGGTGTGCCTTGATTTATATCTAATTCGATCAGCTTGATACTTAATAGTGTTATTTATGCTCAGTAATGTCGATTTTTTCTCTTGTAAATATTTAAATTCTCTCTCAGCAAGACATTGAAGTCTTAATTTAGACATGAAGGTAGTTTACGACACTGCAAAATTTAGGAGAATTTAAAATAACAGTTCTTTGTTTCAATATTTTTTTTTATAATTTTTTAAAATTATTTTTCTAATAAAAATAAAAATTATTGATAAAAAAAATAGAAAACGATAAATAGAGAAAACATTCTTTAAATAATCTCTTCAATTTCTAGTATTAACTTTTTGCGAATGATCAAGTTAACTACCTTAAATTCCACGCATTTCGAATATTTTCCAATTAAATATGTTTTGTAGAAAGTCCTTTACGTAAGACGAGAATTATAAAATCTTATTTACGTGTATCAAGTAGTCATTAAAAAAAAGTCATTATTATTATTATTATTATGGTGATCCGGAAATACCTTCTTGAATTGGAAGATCATAGTTTTTACATTTTAAACATTTTTCCATGGCAATTCCATCTAAATTTGATTATATACTCACAATTTCTTGTTATTTTTAATTTTACATAAGCTATTTTCATGTGGGAATTTCAATTACATGAATGAAAATGGAATTACAACAAAATTTAATAGAAAATTTAAAAGTAAATTTTAAAATACTGAAAATAATTTTTCAAGAAAAAGTTCAAGCTGATTGAATTTCGGATATCTCTCGTAAAAAAAAAACAGTTTTTGCTTATATATAATGAATTTGGAAACAATCGCAGATCACATTAATGGGGATTCATCGTCTGATCGTTCGCGACAACCGTCGATGGAAGAATTACGATTGGAAGGACTCATTCAAGATTTATACAATAGCGATCAAATGTCAGCGAAATCCAATTCGGAACGAAAATTGGGTAAAATGGAAACAATTACTGAAGAACATGATGGTAGTAAGCTCAGCGTTCGGGAGATACTTAAACGCTTTGAGGATTTAAGAACGAGAAACGATTCGCACAATGGAGATAAATCGGGAGATCGAACACTCATGTCGATTCAGGAAACCTTGGACAAACTTGACGAGAAGGTCAAGAATTATCAGGTCGAGACTTTTATATCAGATTCAAATATATATATATATATTTATAGTTTAATCGCAGGTGATCGAGGCCTTCGATTTCTCTTTTCAGTTTCGTGATGGCCAAAAACTTGACTGATTCAACAAGATATTTTTAATTTTGTTTCCGATTTTTATTTTCGATTTTCTTGATTAGGTTTACAGTTTTTTTTTCTCTTTTTCCAATTTAAAAGTTTTGTATTCTTTAATTCTATAAATTTATTTTTTTAATTTATATTTAAATTTACAATTTTCAAACAAAATGATCCAATTTGCATTTTTTTGAACAATATGAGATTTTTTTCTGTGATCATTGTACAAATATAATGAAATGATTTTTTCATATGATGCGATTATAATGTTAATATAAAAATGAGTAGGCGGTTTGGAGATAAAAGTAAAAAAAAAAAAATAAGTTTTCTATTAGAATTTATTTTTCAAGTTGCGTTTAACATATTTATAACGTATATGAAAGTATGTAAATTAAAAGAAGATGGTCGAGACTGAGAGATCGATGAGTTTTCGTTTTGCTTCTTATATTAATGCTCCCGTTATACACAAAACATCTCATGGATCTTCTCTTTTTGTATAACCGCACCCTATATGATGTACAATAACACTTGTGGGCACGCCAATCTAGAATTCTGTTAGTAATTTCCACTTTAAGCTTCTTGCTACTCTCCAGGCAATTAATATAATTACGTAAAATGTGTACCACATATAGTGCAAGAAAGTCGATAGAAAGGAATAATTTTGTTCCAATATATGCGCGTTTTTTTTTCTTCTTCAATTTGCACATTTTCTAGAAAATTCTTTTATTTTTTTTTAAATGAAAAATAAACATTTCGTTGGTATTTTATATTTTAATATTTAACATTTTTTTCGCATATTTTTATATTCATAATTCATCTTTAATTTGAGACACCATAATAGTAAAAAAAATTTTTTTTTATTTCATCAACAGTTCTTTGAGGCATAAATAATGACTACTCATTAGGCTTCAATCAATTTTCAATGACCAATCAAGTTTACTTAATTTTAATAGACGGAGAAATATTCCGCATGTCTTGATCAACCTTCACACAATAATGTGTTGTAAGTCAAATTAGATATATAGTGAAATAATATTTTTGCATTATAAATCATTTGGAAAATTTTACATCATGTAGATTTAGAAAATTACTATCCATTATATTACATTCGCGAACAATATAATAATAATAATTTATTTTGTAATGAGAGGTAAACGTTTACTATTTGTTAATTTGGCACGTTTATCTTGACGCAATAAAATTTACTTGCATTCATCAGCATATTGAAATCCTGTGGTCTTAGCTCATATATACATTCTCTTCAAGTGAACTTCTCTGCTTACTCAATACTTTTTATCGTGTATTCAAATTATAATCAAGATTTTGGTATAATATATTTAATGCTGACTTTACAGGAAAATTATATATATGTATATTTTTTATATTATTTCATATAATTACGTATATATGGAAAGAGAGAAAGTTAATGCGACATTTAGTCTTGAAGTTCAAATAGTTCAATTAATTAGCTTTATAGAAAATTAAAAAAAAAAAATTTAAATATCAATGTATTCTTCATCGTTATTATTTTCTTTTCTTCTTTATAGTTAGCGTTATCATCAATAGGCTAAATAATAAGTTTGTATAAAGGTGTTGATAAAAAATGAGAAATTATTTAAGAATATAAAAATCAGTGAAGCATAACATCATATAGAACCGGGAACTACTGTTTTATATAGCTTGAAAATAAATACACAACTTGTGTTTTAATATTTCCCATAAAGTTATTTATAACTGGTCATGAATATTTTCTTCCTGGACAGGCAAAATCATCGTAAGGCGTTACTATATTGCACATTGCAAGATAAAAGGAGCGTAATTCAAATGATTTTTAACGTTCTCTTTAATCACCGAGAGTAACTGTATATTCAAAGTCTTTACGACGAATCTGGATGCATTAATGATTATCTAGGTCAGGGTCGACATCTCTGCATCCTACTCGCTACTTTTAGAAAATTATCTAGGAATTTCTGCCTGTGAGTGTAATGACTCTTTTCCTCGCTACTTGCCCCTTTTTTATCACTACATTTTCATCAACTGAAAATTACATATATATTATCCAACTATTTACTTTACAGTTTGTTTGCAACTGAAATTCAAAATATGAAGCTATTTCTTTATTTTCAAAAGGCAAAAATGTTTTATTTCCTGAATTTACTTTTTTGGAAAAATTTCTTTAAAAGTCGTTCATTCCATTTTCAGTGTAAATTGTATAAAACTAATCGAATATTGAATAAAAGATGTGATTAGAATAGGAGAGCCGGTAATTAGATAATGCGCGACTCGATTACTAAATACTCCATATGAGTCGAGAAACGCGGAATTGAGATTATATAGCCAGTTGCAAGATCGACGCGCATTCCTTGCGATGGAACAAGTCAGAAATGGATGCTGGCATGCGAGATTTAAGTACCGGTATTTGATCGCGTGGAGGAACAAGTTCTTCGTGTAAGAGAACAATCGACATCCATTGTGGGTAGTAGACCATAAATATATTTTGACGAAATTGAGAAAAATAGCCCATTATAATTCCAAAATTTAAAGAAAGTTCCTTTTATTTTGTTGATTGGACAACTATGGAAATAAAAATAAAAATTACATATATTGTCCGGTATGATCAATCATATTTTTATTAATTTCATTTTTCTCTTATTTTAGGTTGAACATAAACCATTGCACAAGCCAATTCATCACGAGAATCATGTCTCGCAGATCACCAAGTCGATTCAATCGCAGGCCAATCACGTATCATCTCATATGGGACACAACCAGTCGTCGCACAACCAATCCAATTTCAATCACGTAAATGATCATGAAGGACACTCGTCTGCGTCGAGGATCTCGAATCATGTGTCAGCTGCAAACCAGATCAACAACGTTCATCATCAGAAGAATCAGATGAATAAAAACACTGAGAATCAAGAGTGGCGGCATCAGGAAGAGACTGGCCGCTCACAGGAAGAAAGTATATACGAGAGTGGACCAGTTGTAAATGATGGAAAGCACTCGTTGTTACAATACGCAATGCTCAATTTCCGACAAAGTACCGAAAAGTGAGTATTAAATAATTTTCAATTAGAAAATAATTCACTTAATCGAAAATAAAGGAAAAATTAGATTTCAAAATTGATAAAATTGGATTAGAAAATAATTTATTATCGCCTGTAATTAATCAGAGAGAAAGGAAAAAATACGATTTTCTGATTATTTGTTTACAATTATTGATAACTTCAGAATTAATTGAAAAAAAAGAAATTTTTATTTTAGATTTAGATTGAATTAAATTCTAGTCAGTAGTAAAGGATTCTCCAAACATTTAGTGAAATTTAGTAAATTAGCTATTTATATGCATAGTGAGTCTTAGATTGAGAATATCATTTGAAGTGCAAGAACAATGGAGATTTCGCGAGGAAATAAAGTGCGTCAAGATTTGACTACATGCATTGCGATGATATCTGAGAATCGTGAATGTTATGCTTTCTCAACACGACTTTTTATATAAGAAAGACAATTCCGCATTGACGTTAGTTTAAATTAATAGATAATAATCATAAATAGTAAAATCTTCATCATTTTCATCTTTTCAATAATTAAAAAATAATCCATTTACAATTTTTATAAAATTATAAACTGAAAAATAAATATAAGAATAATAAATATTTTCAATATAGAAAATTCGTCTTCTTGAAGATATCTTGAATTCTGTTTATATTCCTTGAAGCGAAAACTCGATTTTGAAGAACAATCGACTATTAAAGTATGAGGGGGGGTTTTTTTTTAGGAGAAAGGGAATTGCCATTTTCCGACTTTCTTTAATTAGCATAAAATACTTTTTATGTAACACTCATCAACTTTTCTCGGAAATGGCGACCGTGAACAACGAACCTCAAAGTGTAACAAATTTTATGGGTATATCATCAACAGACGAAATAAACCACTCGTAAATAAATAAATTAATAAATATTATATCTCTTATTTCCTGAGGCGAAATTGTTAATTAACAATCCATCGTTAACATCGAACAAGTTTTTTTTTTTCCTTTTTTTCAAAGCTTGAGTGAAATCTAAGCGAATAAGGAAATGCACATATGGATAGTATATATATATATATATGCAATTGACTTCTGGGTACTGTTTGCTGATTTGTATTCGTTATCAAAGAGTGTGCACTTTTTTCTACTACGACAACTCGGGAATGTAAACACTTTCCAACGAAAGTTAACAGTTGTACATTTCACGAGGAATGCGCATATGGTACAAGGATCAAAACTGATAATTATAAACGAGTATTGGTCGAAAGGAGTTGAAATTCGTGTTTTTCAATGCAGTGAAATCTGATTTTATCCGATTCATGTATATTTTTTTTTATTATTATTATTATTTGTACGATTTCATATGCATAGTAAAATTTCGTTTTCTCAAATAGAAAATATTACACACGGCTGATGATAGATTATAATATTTAAAAAAAAAAATTCGTTCACAATAAAATATGATAGATTATTTATAGTTGAAGTGAATATGTATAGGAATTTATGTGTCATAAAGTATGAATGTAAAATTTCTTTACTTATTTCACCTGATTATTAAAATGTAGTCAAGAAAACCTAGTTTACTGACTTTTTCAGATGGTTGAAAAAGAAATTGCTACCTTGTAGCGTGTATTATAATGCTCGCATTAATTTTAATTGTACCATTGTGTACCTAGAATCAATTATGATTTTCTCATGCAAGATTAGACAGTAGAAGGAATTAATGAATTATTCCACTCTTACAGTCATAAATTAGGAAACAAAGTCATTAGATGAAAAAAAAAATCGGTTCTCTCCTATTTATATGGAAAACATTTTAAATTAGTTTTAAATATTGCCAAATTGCTTGAAACTATTATTATAGTAATAATAATTGAAGCTACTGTCTGAAAATTCTAATTTTTTTTTCTAAATTTTTTAAGAATTGAATTTCAAATCTTTTTTTTTGAAATTGCAAAATTCAGCTTAATAGCTTCTAGAATGAATCTCAGGAATTTATTGAAAGAACGCCAACAACGGTATGTTATAAAGAAATTTCAATCATGCTGGATATTCCATTAGAAGTTACAGTGCATTAGACGAACTTTCAAGATAGTTATTGTATTACGAAACATATTATTTTCTATTGTAGATATAATTTTGAAAATGATACTTAAAGCAATTTTCCGCGCACAGTTTGTTTAATATGAAATTACACATGTGATGATAAACAGGAAGGATAAATGTATATAAATATATTTATGAATATACAGGAAATGAATAATATATTATAATTGTTTTTTTTTCAATATTATTTTAGATTCGAGATGTTGAAAACGGCCGATGGTTCAATCAGTGGTTCGTTAAAAGTAATAGAATCGTTGAAAAGTAAAAAGAAGAATAAAAAGAACAAAGGTCAACAGGATAGTGCAGAATGGACTTGGAAGGAACAGGTAGACCTAGTTAAGTACTCGGCAGTTCCTATTGAACAGAGTCTTTTACGTTTGGACAACGAGTTGAGTGCCCTTGCTGTAAAATGCTTCCTGTACCTGATGAGATACATGGGCGATCAGTCACTTCCGCCAGACATGAATGAGGTGAAGTGTGTCTACACAATACTAATGGTGAGCACAGGTTTAATGACTTTTAAAATGAAAACATATTCCTGAACACATCACTTTCCCTATAAAAGTTTATTCTCCTCTCTTTAGTTATATATAAACATTCATTTCATTCACAAATTTAAAAATACTTGAAAAAAGAAATGTTTTTTTAAAGATTAAGAACAGTCTATGTTTCTTTATTTTCAGCACTGCCATAAATTTGAACAGCTGTGCGATGAAGTTTATTGTCAATTAATGAAGCAAACGACAAATAATAAAAGTCCAAATCCAGAAAGTTGTCAACGAGGATGGCGAATTTTCAGTATAGTCGCCGCTTATTTTACATGTAGTGATGGTCTGAAGCCGTATCTTACAAAATATTTAGAAACTGCCGCCTATGATAAAAGACGAGCTTATCATGGTACGGCTACGGTTTGTTTGCAAAATTTGCGAAAAACTGTTAAATACGGAGGTAGAAAGAATGTTCCCAGTGTTGAAGAAATAATGGCAATTAGCGCCGGTAGAAATGCCAAGAGACAGATCTATAGATTACCTGGAGGAACTGAGAGAGTGATAAATACTAAATGCACCACCGTTGTACAAGTTAGTAGCAAAATTAAGTTATTTTTTATTTTTAAATGTGTTTTTTTTTTAAATTTTGCAATAATTTAATGAAATTTTACAGGATGTTATTGAAGAAATGTGTAACGTAATATCCGTAAGAAGTCCAAATGAAATGGATGAGTTTTCGCTTTATTGCATCGTTGATGGTGATGCTTTTACTATGCCTTTAGCACGAGATGAATACGTGTTGGATGTGACTACTGAACTTTATAAAAATCATCAGGTGTTCTACTTAATATTCTGCAGGTATTATTTTTAAAAAATTAATTCTTTTTTAATTCATCTTTAGATTCTTTAAAAAAAATCAATTTTATTTTTTTCAAGTAAATTTTTCAAATATTTATTAGGAAAGAAAATATATATTTTTTTGAATTTTTAGATCTGTTTGGTATTATCCACTTCGGCTTGACGCTCCATTGTACATAGAAGTGGTATTTAATCAAATTGCCCCAGATTATTTGGAAGGCCTATTGTTAGTTTTACCCGGTGATCATTTACCCCAGGAAGTAATAGTGAGTATAAAATTTTGAATTTTAAATAATTTTTATTATAAATTTCAGAGAGATATATTAAATATTGTAATTTGTTACAGTACGACATGGCCCAAATCGCAGCACTGTTACATAGAGCAGCGGATATGACACATGAACCAACCACAAAGGAAGTTAAATACCTTCTTCCTAAACCAGCTCTCAGTTTAAGGGAACCACGACCACAGCAATGGGCCAATATGGTCCAACAAGCGTGGAATAATATTATGCATAATCCACCAGCCGGATGTAAAGCTCAAGTTCTCGGTAAAATTTATTCTATATTCTATTCTTCATATTTCCTTTTTTTTAATTATTTATATTTGTTTTTCTTTGTTTTATTTGATTCAATTTATTTAGGTAAATTTATTCTGAATCTTAAATCAAGATATTTAAATTCTAAAATTTTGTTTCATATTTATATTATCAGTTTTTTTTTAAACTGAATTAAATAAATTTTTTAATTTATATCAATGACATGGAAATTTCTCTTCTACAGAAATACTGTCAAAGTGGCCACTATTTGGATCCAGTTTCTTTGCAGTCAAGAGAGTGCCAGAGGGAAAAGAAAAAGGCGGCGACCACATCCTTGCTCTAAACAGACACGGCGTTCTTTTTATCGACCTCATTACGCACGTGAGTTTTTAATTCATTCATTTTAATTTAGATTTCTTGTACTTTTATAATTTTATTTAATTTTCGTCTAATTTAGTTTGCTCATATTTGCCAATTAGATTTACTCTTTTCAATTTTATTATTATTTTAATTAATTTAATCAGATTGTTATTTAGTTCAATCGTATTTTAATTTAACATTAATTTAATCAGATTAATTAAGATTATTTTTTAGTATATTTATATTTTAATTTAATAGTATTTTAAGAAATATTTATATGTTTTTTGTAATATTTTTCATGAAATTTTAATTTCTTAAAAATGTTCAGGTATAAATTTTTGTTTAATTTTATTATTTATTTTTTTAAACAAAAAAATAATCCATTTTCAAAATTTTTGAAAATCAATAAAAAAAAAACGGTCATAAAATCATAAGTTATCGCCTTATGGATTTATGGTAAATAACCCTCTCTGAAATTATTGCGATTCATCTCAAAAGTACTGCGTTTTCAAAATTTTAACCAAAAGAACCGAAAGTATACGAATTAACTAAATGGAATACTAATCAATTAAATAAAATAGTAATAATAATAATAATTAAAATACTAATAAAATAATTTAAATAAATTGATTATCGATTTCCTGATCGAAAGATCTAAAGATCAAAATGATCAAATATTGACAAATTAATTACAGGAAACACTCTATCATTATCCATATTCTGAGGTGATTTCAACTCGCAAAGTGAAATCCGAGGAAGGCACTTTATATCTAGACATGAAATGCGGCAATCTGATGCAGCAACGAATAACGAGACTTCAAACTGAGCAAGCTCATGAGATCTCGCGTTTAATTAGACAATACATCACAATGGAACAAAGATCGACAAATAATCCGGGTCCTCCCATGGGATTCGATCGATTTAGATAAATCATCCACAATCTTCTTCCAAATGCAATTTGTGTATATCAGGGGAAAGAAAGTTCATTTTAAAGGGATCAGCCATTATTTTCTTACTATATATATATACGAGAACGACGTTCATTTAGAGAGGATAGCGGTTCCAGAAAGAGAAAGAGAAAAAAAAAAAAACAAATGCTCAAGTAATTAATCGAATTATCGATTTTGTAAATACGCGTAGGCACGGTTAGATAAAAAAAAGATGACCATATATAGAGAACTTAAATATTTCGGGGTAAAAATTATTGTACAACCTCGAGAATTTTTAGATTAGAGTTCTCTATTATCAAATATATTTTTTCCGATTGTTTTCAATCTTTCGGATATTATTTAAATGCGCAAAAAAATGAATTGTCACGATTGTAACGTGAATCAGTCGTAGTTATTTAAAAAAAAGAAAGAAGTACGCCTAGATGTATTTCATTTTATTAAGAGAAAAAAAAATTAAGAAAAGAGATCTGCTGTAAGTTTTTAGTTGTGAATGTTTTTTTATTTATAAAGAGTAAGAAAAAAAAGAGAAACTGTAAGTTACAGCAAGTTATTTTGTTTGTTAAGAAAAATAAACATGTATAATTAGAAAACTAATCTTAACGATTACGTTGTTAAGACAAAGACTAACAGCTTGCGATTATTACAAGATTACATTATTAATATTGATAATGTATATGTATATGATGTAATGTCGGAGAGAAGATATAAATTTTTATTAAAAATTTTTATGCCAAATGTTGATTTGTTGACATTTTTGAAGGAAACAATAATAATATATAGTAATTTAAGAAAATGTTTATGAATTACAGTCTTCGGATTATTCTTAGATAAATTTGTTTTTTTAAGCAAATTTTAACATTAATTATTTATATATAAGTATTTTTCCAATTAAATTTACATTTTTATTATTTAAATTTATAATTTTTTATCATTTAAATTTAAACATATTTCTATCGTTTAATTTTTTTTTTACTAATTGTAAAACAAATTTAGATAATTTTCTTGATTCACAGAATTGAATCTAAAAAAAATTATTTAAATCTTAGATGCTACTTCCTAATTAATCTAATTTTTGGATTTTAATGTAATGCCAATATTTTTGATCCGTTTACATACAATTAATCCTTTGGGATTTTGTAATTTTTGTTTGTAATAATTTTTCTTTATTGACGAGAAAAATTATTATTTTAAAAATAATCATTATATAGTTAAACTAACTTTACATATAAAATTTTTTTGTAAAAAAAAACTTCTAGCCAACTATTAAAGTACACATTTTTTTAGACACTCATAACAGTTTAAAATTTTTAATTTTAACAAATTAAGGCAGTTCAGTTGCTATATTTTTTTGCCAAAAAAGATTTTAAAGAATATTTATTTTATTTTTTGAATGATTTTTTGGCAAAAAAAAAAATGGTAGATTTAATCTAATTTTTAAAATTTACACTCTATCTCGTTCGGGACTTCCACCAGGTGTTTTGATGCGGAGATTTTGTGGCCAATTGCTGGCCGTATGACGAACATATCCTGGATCATTGGGTGACGAAGGCAAACGATTTCCCGTTTGAGTTCCAATCGACGCTGTTCTGTAGGCATTGAAATACTCCTCGAGCATTTCAATCTCATCCTTGGTTTTTTCCTGATGCTTGTATAATCTACTTGGTCGAGGAACGCTGAAGACTGCATCACGATTTTTTTTCCCGAATCCATTTGAAGAGGAAAACATTCGGGTAGGTACATTGTCATATTGGCTTGAATCAGAAAACCTTAACAAAAAGAATTTAATTTAATTCAATAAATAAATGTTTAAATACTAATTTTAATATTTTTATCAAAATAGAAATTCACACCTGTAATTTTCGATTGTTTCTTCAACGTCACGATCGACACGCATGATTTTCACACCAGGATTAACAATTTTTGCAAAAATTGGTTCTCTCTTTTCTAGGGTCGCTGGAAAACGTGGAGTATCCAATTCGTCGACTGGTCGTTGATAAATATCCTGAGTTCGGAAAATGTCATTTTCCTTTCTCATACGTTGTTTTTCAATTTCAAATGGTTCCTCGGAATCTCTCAAGTGTCGTCGGTAATTATCAACATTCTGTGGATAGTCCAGTGTCTGTTTTTCTGCATTTTGAAATTTTTTATTTTGATCCTCCACAGGAACTTCGGATAACCTAAGACTAGTCGCATCTGATTCAGTTTTTATCAAATAATTGCACACAAATAAAGGGAAATATTACCGAGATAACAGGTAAATTTTATCACATACAAAATTTTCGTCAAAAAAAATTATTCTTAATCGTTACAAAATTGATTATAAATAATTCGTTATATTGTTAAAAAACATCAAATGAATAACATAAAATTATAATTTTATAGTTTATTAATATTCAATGAAATATTAATAGAAATATTAATATATAATTAAATATTCAAGTAATTAATTTCAAATGAAATGTTTTTTATGATAAAAAATGAATTATTTAATCAAAAAATAATTTGCCTAGGTAAAATGAATAATACAGCCAACTTTCTTTAAAAGTAATATATTTATACAATGTTACAATAATTTTTTTTTGTCTAAAAATATTCTACATACAAAATATAAAAAGAAATCCACCCCTTAAAGCATTTACAAACCGAAAATATATTTTTTTTTTATAAAATTAGCATCTATTGAAGATTAAAATTCTAAAAATCATGTTTTTAAATCAATGAGAGTTCTTTAAATTTTAGAGTATTTTTTATATTACTAATTATTCTATAAAGGGTTAATAAATAATTAAAATAAAAACATTAATGTAAAGGGTTAATGAATAATTTATACAGTAAACAATTTAAAAAAGATATTAAAAAATAAATGAATAATTCTCGGTGATATTTCTCGCGTTTTAAAAATTTTCAGTAGCTTTTATATGTATAGGACTTCTACCTATGTCGCCTTTGTTCCTCTCTATTGAAATTTCGATCTGTTGTGGGTCGATCAATATAGTCAATACCCTCGAGATTGTCATGTAGTCGTGATCCTTCAGATTTTTTAAATCCATTAGTGACTTGACCCTTTGAATCACGAGAATCATTCAAATTTTCCATACTACCATTGCTTTTTACAATTTTTGTCTCCTTTTCCACCGTCATCATTGTCATTGGCTTAACTGCTTTTTAAATAATTTGAAAAAAAATTATTATTATTTTTTATTTTTATAAAATTAAAAATAAATATAATTATTTAACAAAAAAATTGAAGATGAATAAAAAAGCATAAACAAATGTTATTGAAAAAGATTAGAAGATTTAGAGATAAAAAATAGTTAAAAGATCTTATTCAGGTAAAATGTTTTATAATGTAAATTTTTTATATGATATTGTTGAAGGTTGATTCAGGATAGAAGAAAGTGTAATGTATATAGTTTATTAAAATTAGAAAAAAGACTGTAATTTACTCGGATCTCGAGATAAAAAGATTAGGCCATTTTAGAACAAGTTGTTATGAATTTATAAGACTCTCGCGCATAATTTTATATAAAAATGGTTAAATTAATAAAAACGTCCCTGATGGAGGACCTTGATGCGCCCATGACGGGCGCCACCTTTTCCACGCCCTAGTTACGTCTTTCAATAGTGTTAACGAATTAACAATAATACAAAGCATTCGCTTTGGATCACATATCACTTTTTTTTCAAGAATTACTTTTTTTTATGACATTCTATGTTAACCACACAATGTCTTTAAGACTCGCTCTATTGTTTCATTAGTAGTTAAAAAAAATGTCTTATTCATTAGCAAAAGTAAAAAATTAAAATATTTAAATACTTAAATTAGGATATTAAAAATTTAAATTATCTATTGAAAACGTAAAATTAGTTGAGAAAGATTCATTAATTTAAAAAAAAAGAAACACAATTAGTTATTGAAATAATAAGCTACTAATCAATTATTATTGATAAATTTAAAGTAATTTTAACAAAAAAATTTATGTAAAATTTTGATACCTGAAAATTTTAAGACTTCATCGGAACTTTCAAGTTTTTTAACACTTTTTGAGTCAAATTTATTTACATACTCCCTTTGTATAGTTATTCGTTTTGATACCGAGCCTAAAGAAATTTAATATGATAATAATAATGAAAAAACCAAACCAAAAATTCAATTATAGGAATATTTTTCCATTATATTTATTTATAAAATAGGTATTGACTATATTGAGAAAATTTCTTTGAGAGGTGAAAAAAATTCTGTTATTTTGTTTTTTTTTTTAAATAATAATATATTATTAATAAAAAATTTTTTTCTAGGTACGTATAAATAATTTTCTAGAAACTTGCCTGTTTCTTTACTGCCAAAAGTTTGGGTGGCATCATGCTTTTTTTTGCCTTGATGTGAGCTCATTAGTAAATCAGCAATGAAAACCAAGGCTGTGAGGAGACACAATGTTCCAAGGACTGCTGCATTGTCTATTAAATCTTGCGGAACACTGTCTAAGGATGCCAAAGAAAGACCTCCAACAATTCCAAAAAATATCACCCCCAGGCCAAGAAAAAAACATTCCTTGAGAAGAAACAAAAATTGTTATTAACACTCTTTTTAGAAATTACACAAAAGTAAGTATAATTAAAAATTAAAAAATTTGACAAATCTAAAATTTTTTAAAAAGAAAGGGAAAAAATTACTCTTGTGACAATTTCTTGTATTAGAAATTAAAAGAATAATAAAAAAAAAATTGTTTAATAACTGTAAAAATTAATGAATTGACTATACATAATAAAATATTAAACGACTAAATAAAAATTATAGATTTGAAGACGGGCGGGACCGAGAAGTAATATCGAGACCCAGTTATATGAGTCATTAAAGTTTATTGTTGCAAATAGATTACGTGTCTAATGATCGTCAAGATGGGATGTGGTTGGTATTAAGGCAATAATAGTAACTGCATACGCGTGCCTCGTTACATTAAGGATAATTTCAACCTTGCTTTTCAATGACAACTTTCTTGGACACCTCCTTGTTATATGTTATATGCGCTGACAAAGTTCTCACGATATCTGCTCTTATTGCCGTTATGAAAAAAAAAGAAAAAAAATCTTAACCGATCTTGACAAATCTCAATAATTCCACTTTTTTTATATTTCACCTATTCTCAAGCATTCTTATAATACATTATAAAATTCCTCATACATAAATTACGTAATCTCTCATATATGTGCTTTAAATATATATATTACTATGCGCGAATTTCTTAAAAAGGTACTTTAAAATTAGCTTCAGTAATTTTAAAATTTCTTTGAAAGTAAAAATAAATTTAATTAATTTAAAATTCAATTCATTAATTTTTTGATTAATAAATTATTACCAAGCTTTATGAATTTCTTGAGGAAATTTTAACTAGTCAACCAGAAAATGAAGGTTAAATATTATAATATATACTGGATATTATTTTATAAATGAGGTTCATTTTAAATGTGTCGAGAGAAAACAATGACACACTTGTTTTTGAGATTTACAACACATATTCCTCATAAATATATTATATGGTACGCAAAAAAAAAAAAAAATTATAAGTATCAAGGCCCTGAGAAATTGTATATTTTGGAATACTGTGACCGAAAGCAAACAATATATTATTATAATACCTAATCATGTTAAACTGCATTAAGCAATTCACTGCATGACGAATTTTATTACATACATATGTGTTTATAGAAAATAGAATCAAAATTAGTCTCACCTATGAATTTAAATTCAAAGAATAGAATCAATTGTAAAAAATTGATACAAAAAAAAAGTTGATTACTTCATACCGTGAAAATAATTTAAAGCAAAACGAAGTGATAAAAAGTTTACACTTTTTTTTTTTATCTACTGCTCTATTTTTGTCTCTGATTAGAAAATAACATTAATAACATGTTAGTTTCACTATTGTAATTTATACAATAATTATTTTAAAAGAATACGTTTTTACTTCATTAATTTTTTTATTTTTAATATCAATTATAATAAGGAAAATAATAATTATTATTATATTGTGAAATTCACCTGTAGGGTGATGTTGACTGTTAAAGAAAAAAAAATTAATTAAATGTTTACAATATAACTATAATGAAAGTGGAGAAAGGAATAATATAAACTTACTGTTTTGCGACCTCTAAGTTCTCCAGTAGCGGCGGCAATAAGAAGACCTATTGTTATAATAAGGTAGCCCCCACATGTGACTGTCGCAAAAGCTTGTCCTAATGATGAGAACAAAGCACAATAGTAAAAGTTAAATTAAAAGACACAAAAGTGCTAAAGAAAAATGCGCAGCTCATTACCAATGACTCCCCATGTTACGTTGTTGAGCAATGACCATTGGAGACTTCGATTTCGAAGATAGTGAAAAACTCTTTTACTCTCATCATCAGTTACCCTCAATGCCACCACACATGCCACACACAATAACTGCAAAAAAATTTTTAAATTTCATTTTTATTTGGATTGAAAGAAATAGAAAGATGAACATCAAGAAAAAAAATTATAGTAATAGAAAAAGAAAAAAAGAAATAGAAGAAATTGAAGAGGAAAATTGTTTTTCAAGAAAAAATCTTTTTCAAAGAATAAATAAATAAAAGAAGTGATTTAAGACTTTCCGCAATTATTATATATACAAAAAAAAAGCATAAACAAAAATGCGGTAATTTTTATTTACATATTATTTTTCTACTAAAGAGGAAAGAATTATTATTTAAACGTCGCTGTTTTCGAAAGCGCACACGTAAAATTTATCGTTTGTTGAGTTCAACATGCGTCTGCAATAAAATTCATTTAAGTATCTTCAGTAAAGCAGTCACACCTATTAAATCGTTGCTTTTGTGAAGAAAAGAAAAAAAAAAAAAAAAACGATTAAAGTTTCAATATGAAAGAACTAAAACGTCTATATATGCATTTTAATATACATAAGAAAATGATCTTTCCTCAACTGTTGTTTTTTTTTCTTTTTTTTTTTATAAAAGACATACAAACGTGAGTCACATTATTAATAAGGTCTTTTGTGGTGATTTCAACGGCGGTTTATTCTACGCAAAGAATTGTATCTGTCTATGCAGATATTCTGTCTTGCGAATCACCAAGTAGATCAACTCTTACAAAATATACAATTATTTTCATATGCCTGGCAAGGATATGCGCAAAAAACGAAAGTATTTTTGGAATTTTTAATGTGACGTGAAGAATTTCAAAAATAAATTTCATCAATGAAATATTCTATTCTATATTAGAAAATTATATTAAAAAAATTTGTTTATTTTTCACTTCAATCTCTAATTACATTGAGGAATTATTTTAGTTTTTTTTACTGTATTCGATTTGTTAAAAAAAAATCAATTTTAATGATAATATTCAAAATAATATTTTTTTTACTATTTAGTAGAAAAAAAAAATTATTTTCTATACGACATTCGATTAATTAAAGATAATTTTATTCATTGCTTTTAAACGTACCACTTCAACAATCCTGATGAATACTTTTCGGTTCCACATGATTTCACACAATAGTAATCACAATTATTCAAAAAAAAAAAAAAAACTTATCAGAATGCACAAATTTAATTCATTGTCACTTCTACATTAAGCACAAGCGTAACGATAAATTGTTTCCATTTTTTTTTTCTAATTATAGAAAAACTGCTCCAAATAAATATTTGTCCATTTTTTTGATGTTTATCAACAAAAATGAAATTAAATTATTACTTTTAAAAATGTTTAAAAGAATTAAATTAAATTCTATAAATTAATTAATTAATTTAAAAAACAAAATTCTATTTTGAAGAAATTTATTTTTAGTATAAATTTTTTCAAAAGAGATTTTTCATTAAATAATTTAAAATAAATTTTCTCACTGATGAAATAGTCAAAAAGAATATTTTTAAATAAAAAAAAAATTCTTCATTGAAGAAACAATTTAAATAAATATCTTTAAATATATCTTCAAAATTAACAAAATTTCTTTTTTTTTTGTTTCAGATTCAATGTTTACAAATAATAAAAAAATAAATTTTTTAGGTGAAACTGAAATAAAACTTAAAGATACATTTTTGAGAAAAAATTACAAATAAAAGTATTTGTTTCTTTTTTTATATTATATGGAAAATAAAAATAAATAACCGTGAGAATTTATTGAAAAAATTATTGATTTTACCGGAAAGAAAGGAAAATAGACACTACGAGTCTAAGTGTTGGACAACGACTGAAGAGATAGCAAGGTTCATATTGCATGGACACACGTAATAATGCCTCCTCGAGTATGTATATAGGTGGAAACAATACCATTATCACACGAAGCAATGGCGTGGGACAATGCAAATTTCCATGGGTAACCATGAAAAATTCAAGTTTTACCTCAATTTTATATTAATTATACGTATTTTACAATAATTACAATATAAAATAAACAAAATTTACATTTTTTTAAAAATTCTAGTATTTTTTAAAAAATATTTATTTATTTTAATTAATTAATTAATTTATTTATTAGTTCTATTAATTTAAATTTGATTTTACAATGCGAAATTTGAAAGATAATATTATATTTTATCTGTATTTGAAAAAAATATTTAATTTTTTAAATTAAAAATTTTCACAATAAATTTCTTTAAATTTTTTATAATAATTTTTCATTTTAAATTAATAATTAATTTACATATGTCTATATTAATTAATATTAATTAAAATTAAATTACTGTGATTACAGTAACAAATATTCTATTGGCGCCGCATAGTGATTCATTAAAAAAATAATTTGAATGTGCGAATAAAATAATCTTGTATCTAGACATTATATGGTATTAATCTTAAATAATTATAGTCGAAGACAGAATAATTATTCTCGTGTGTAGAAAAAGAAAAATGACAGTTCAATAAACGTCGCCTATTTCCGGTGAAATTGACGTCATTTTCTTATATAATTTTTTTTAAAATACTTGTTATTTACAATATTATTCTTCTATATAGAACTATTTATATTTCAAAATTCATATTTTTCAAAGAATTATTTTTATTCAAAAATTTCCATCTATCATTTTAATTTCAAGGTTGAATGATTTTTATCCTTAAATTTTTTTTTTTTTTATTAAAAAAAATTTCATCCGTAAAATTATTCTTTATTCTTCAATTCTTTAATTCTTCTTTCTCTTTATAGTTTTTTCTTCTTTCTATTTTTATTAGTATTAATTGTTAATTCCACCAATTATAATTTTATTTACAGATAATAAAAAGAGCGTTTCACTTAATAAGAAGATATAATGGCGAGAATAATAAAAAAGAAAAAGAAATTAATGTTTCTTTTTATAAAAAAAAAAGAAAAAGGAGAAGCATCGGCCATGAGAGAAAAACAATGAATCTAAACACCGAATCCCACGTGCAATTGGAACGTGGGTACTTTCGCTAAATTGCGACCCCCCATTTAGAAGTGAAGACTTGTTAAAGATCATTTTTGGAAGAAACGTTTTACCTATATTCACCTCTTATGGCAAAACGTCCTTGAATTTCTCTTTTCATATACACATTCCATTTTTTTTTCCTAACATCGCAATTCAATTATCAACATTGTAAAATATTTTAATTAGTCATAATTGCTCTAATAATTTGTCAAGAAAAAAAAAGCAATCGAATTGCATAATCAAAGACTACATTTTCAATTAAAACTATTTTTTAAAGAGCCGATTTGAAATTTTTTTTTATATATTTTCTTAAAGTGTTCTAATTAGTGAATATATTTAATATTTTAATGATTCTAAATTGAGTGTTTTTTTAAATAATTATTAATTAACTGTTTAAGAGAACAATTTGTAATTTCAATTTTCGCGGGCTTTTGGGGATTCCCAAAATTGAAGTTTTCAAAAATCAAACGGTTCAAATATAAACGAATTTTATTAAAGTTTTTTAATTATTCTATCTTAAACAAAGTTAAAATTAACAAGTATATACTAAATTTTTATTAGAAAAAGTTTAATTAATAAAAATTTGTGTTTAAAACAGGAAGGATAATTCAAAAATTTACCATGGAGTTCTGTATTCCGTCACAAGAGGCAGCACAATCGTTCTTTTACGTTGAACGGCCTTCTCGTTGGGAATTCGTTGTACGCATCAAGCAGGTTTTTATTAATTATATTATTAAAATAATAAAAAATTTATTTATTTTATACTTGGAAAAATTGTATTAAATATTTATTGTTAATGTAAGCGTTTTACTTGTGTTTCTAATATCCATAAACTTTACAAATTATAGGTTATTATTTTTCAGTTTTTCTCATATTTATTCATTTAAAACATATAAAAAAAACTAATATAATTCTGTTTTTTCTCATCAATTAAATGTACTTGATAATACTTTTAATTCTATTTTATGTATCTATTATATTGTAAACAGTTTTGAGAGGGAAAATTTTTAGGTTAGTCGTGAATAATTTAAAAAGTATTGACGATAAACAATAATATTACAAACACTTGATTTCGTTAAAATAGATAATTCATTCAACGTCTAATTTCAAAAACAAATTGTTTTCCGAATTTTTCATAATTTTTATTTATTTTAATTGACAAAATTAATTACTTAGTGATTTATTATATTTATTACAGATCAAAAACAAATTTCTACAAACTAGAACGACGTAAACAAATTGATTGAAATATTATAAAGAAAAATCATGCCACTCTCTCCTAAATCTAATCAAAGAATTATTGCTGCGCCCGATCGAAATAAACAGGGACAATTGCCAAAATATGTCGATTCAGATAAACAAGTTTCGCAGTTTAATTTATTTGACAATTTTACTTTTTCGACATCTGATTCTCATGAAGGCGAGGCATCAGCAGCAGCTTATTCAACAAATCATTTAAAAATGTCGAATCAAATTCCAAAATATGGACAACTGAAAAATAATTGGGAAGATGATGTTCTTCCTCGTTTTTCACATATGAATCTTCAGTCTGCAACAGGATTTTCTCAAACAATTGATCCAAAAGCGCCGGATTTTATACCACGTAATGGAAAATGGGTTACTCCGATTAATATATCTCAACAATTTATCGCAGATAGAGGATTTTATCAGGCATATGAAAATTATCCATATTATGTGATTCAATCACAAGGATCATATGTTGAACCATTGCCAATGAGAAGTGTACCGCAATTTCCATCCAATAATATTAATAATGGAATTCCACATCCTTCATTTTACGTAAATCATTGGAATGAATATTCATCGAATTATCCAAATGTGTTAAATTGCAGAACCGAAGGATGTAAATCATATGTAAATCCAAATTTGCGATGTCAAGAGACTCTTCCTGCGGTTGAATTTCCAAAAAAGAACGTTGCACAACAATTGGATGATGATGATGATAATAATGATGAATTGTGCAAAGCAAAAATAAAAAATTTTAAAACAAAATGTAATTTATTGACAAGTGCAAAACCAGTGAAACCAATTAAAAAAATTGGCTTTTCAAAATTTCCACGACGAAGAAATTTTACATGCGAAACACAAGATGAAAATGATATTATTTGTATGATGACTACGCCGACTCCAATTCCAAAAGGTGCAAGGCCCATTTTATCAGCAAGAAAGTAAATATAATTTGATATAATTAATTTATTTTTACATCAAGGAAAAGCATGTTTTCTTGACAAGTTTTTTTTTTCATTAACTACATCGTATATTTTACATGTTATTTGAAAACACTCGTCGCTAATGTGTCAATTTTTTTTTCTTTGTGTAATTTTATTATTTTGATTTTCTTTTCTTTTTTTTTTTTTTTTTTGAAAAAGTGATTTTTATTTTTATACATGATCAAAAGTGACGTTTCAGTGTGATATACTTATAATTTGTTAGTACTTATAGAATCGACAGTAATATTAAGAAAGAGTTTAGAAATCTTCGTATACAAATGATAATTTCGTATTTTATATTTTTCGTAAATTAAGCATTTCGAGAAATGATATAATTTTAAACTTTTTCGCTCAATATATGTTTTATTAAAAAAAAAAGAAAATGTATTAACCAAATTAAATCAAAAATCTTTCTAAAAATGTTTAAATATTGTTTATCAGTAAAAAATATTTTTTTTTATAAAGTAAAATATTTTGAGTGAGAAAATTTAATTATTGATTTAAAAAAAAAGTTGATATTTAAATATCATTCATATATTTGTTCAGTGGGATTGTTTAAGCCACAAAGATAATGATTTTAATCATTATACATTTTTTTTATTTAATTATTGTTAACAAAATTTATATAAATTTTACAGTATTATATAAGTACATAAAAACCAGGATATTTGACGTAAATCAACGTAATGAACATTCTTTTTTTATACTGTGAAACTTTAATTGCTTGTTGTAAAAATGATCATTAATATTTTATAATTATTTAATTGTAATCATATTAGAGTATATTTAAAATCAAGACTTAAATACTCAAAAGAAAATATTTATAAACATTCAATATTTATATTGTCAGAATTGAAAAATGATCGTTAATTTGGTTTTTGTACCATTTGAAAAATTTCTTCTTATTAAAATATTGTTTAATTTTGTATTTTACATGCTAATCATTTATTGTCTTAATTTTTTACATTACAAGTATTGTTTGTTCAACGAACTTCGTACTTTTGTTATTTGTATAAGAAAATGAAGGTGCATGTTTGTTTCTTTCGTTCATAAATAAAAACAATTGTATTAGAAAGTAACAGTTTATTTTAATTGCAACACAAACTAAAAATTAAGTAATAAATTAAAAATAAATAATAATTTAAAATAATTATTTTGGAAATTGTAAATTTTCTTTAATAATTTACTAAGCATTACTTAATTAATAAATCATATTTATTTAAGTAATATTTATTATCCTTTTTATTTAAATTTATTAAAATTTTATTTAATTTTAATTGAAAAATTTAATCAATTTTATGTTATTTACACACACTTTAGCTCTTGAAGCGCCTAAATATATGTAACCTGACTATCACAAGTGCTGAATATATTGATATTGTTTTCAGGTTAGGTTACTTTGTTCGTCCGGTACAGTTTGAAAAGTCAGCTGACAGGAGTGGCAGTTTCATTGACTTTGCGGCTTTTACTTTGTTTATTAATTTAAAAAGTAAAGTGATTTAAGTAAAAAAGTAACAATGAGCAGTTCCAGTGTTAAAATGTGTGATCACAGTGAATATCAAACACCTCTGTCGACTCGTTATGCTTCCAAGGAAATGCGCTTTAATTTTAGCGATGATAACAAATTTAGCACGTGGCGAAAACTTTGGATCTACCTGGCTAAAGCTGAAATGGTTTGTATAATATGGTTTTCATTTTTAAAATCTCTTTAATTAAATAAGTCAGTAATTGTTTATATTATTAAAACGAATTAATAAGTACGTCAGAAGTTGAACATTTTTAGGTTAGAAATTTAAAAAATTAGCGTTTTTAATATTAATAATCAAAGAGTATTAAATATTAATAATTTTTCCTTAAAACTGTATAATTTAAGTTTAGAAACTATTTTTAATTAAAAAAAACAATCTATTGGTAATAATTAATACCTCTTGCAAAGTACGAAAAACAAATTCGGAATGAGGTTATCAATGTTATCAACAGGTCATTGTTATCATTTTTATCTTTTCTTAAAAAATGTTATTCAAATATTGCTACATATTTCTGAAGATATTATAAATGAATTAAAATAATTTAGTTTTATTTAGAATTATTTATTAAATTTAATTACATTTGGTTTGTTATGGTCTTCTAAATATAATTAACTTGTTGTGATTAGTATATTTATTTAAATCTATATTATTGATAAATATAAATTAATTCATGAATTTTATATTCATGATGTACAATTATATTGAATATTATTATTAAATGTTTGTTGCTTAATATTATTATTATAATTTGTATTACAATTATTAATTATAATTTGCTATTTTCTTGGTAATGTTTTCAGTTTTTGTCACATGCGGAACATTTACAGGGCTATAATTGATAATTATTTATCAATATTATGAAATATATATTTTTAATTATTGTTATAATTTAATTAAATATAAACAAATACTCACTGGACTGAGTACTTTACGGCATTCATAACATTTAATACACTTTTTTGCTGAACAAGCTAATTTTTGAGGTATCTATAAAAATTTACTGATATTAATTTTTTGTTTATATATTTTAATTGAATTAAAAGTAATTTACATACTCTTATCGATTCTGGTGTTGCACACGTTTCACAAACAATTTTTCCCATCCGATTTTGAAAAATATATTGAACTTGAATGGTGCATAGGTCTTGCTGTAAATTATTAAAATTTAATTTAATTAGGAATATAAATAAATTATAAAATAGTAAAAAAGAAATGTATCTCACTTTTCTTTTTTGAGCAATACAAGAGCATATTTCTTCAATTTTAGAAAATTGTTTCTCATTTTGATTTCCACAAGTGATTTTATTTATTTTATTATCCAATGGTGATTTTTCCAAAGGTAGTCTTAATTTTAGAATGGTTTCTCTAATTAAAGGAATGTTAATTAAATTTATATTTACAAATTACATGAGGCTAAATATTTTTGTACATTTCTTACTTAATTGATGGAGTTGTATTGTTGAAATCTATGGGTTCAATTTTATTTTTTTTAGTAAACAAAATCGAATTTGGTGTCGAGGAACTCAATTTTGAGTAAGAGGCAGTTGAGAATATTGAATCTTCTGGACTATTTAGAAAAAAATAGTTTAACTCAAAAATATTTTTTTGGTATTTATGTGCATAAATTAATTACAATTATAATTAAATTCATACGTTTTAAACTGTTTATTATAACTTCCAGGAGCCGATAATGTTTCTTCAGCTTTATTTATTGCTTCTTGTGACATTTGAATGATTTTCTCAGTCATGGACAATTTATTATCCCCGTGAACATGATTTTTGTGCAAAGTTTCCAAATCTTCTTTTAATTCTACAATAATATTTTTATTATTTATATTTTTCAAGTTACTTAAAATTGAAATTTTTTCTAATATTTAACGTAAATATTTGGAAACTTTAGAGGAGAATTTAATTTTTGTATTCTAAACCTTTTTTGTCACTTAGAATATTATTATCAATAGAAGATTCTGTTTTCTCATTCTCATTTTTTTTCTCATCCTTGTGTAATTTTTCTTTTTTTACATGAGACACTTTAATTTCTATTTCTTCCTTGGAAATATCAGATTTCAAATTATTTTCTACATTATTATTTCGAATAGCATCGGAGGTTACGCTTAATTTAGATATTTTTTTCGGCGATGTTGTCTGCGATGACAAGCCACTATCAAAAGTAGGACACAAACCTGAAAAGTAAGAGGGAAATTAATAGATATTTATTTCGAAATTTTTTTTATTGATTTGGAGAAAATTAATAATATTAATATTATATTAATGCAGTTTATAACAATAATATTATAAAGTAATTTTAAATTTCGATAATTGTCACTTTAGCTAATGATATAAAATAAATCTTAATAAATCCACTTGTTGGGTAACATTTTTTTAAAAATTTAGATTGAACCTGAAACTTAATTAAATTGTATTTTAGTTTGATCACTTCGCTTTACAGATCGCCTTATCTGCTCCTTTATTTTGATCCATGAATGATTCTGACGGAGTTATTTCTCTATTAGTTGACTGAAGAAGTTGAAGTTGTAAATGTTGTTGTTGCTCATGCATTATTGGCCCTTGTTCACATCTACAACTGAAATTTCAATTGTATTTTAAATATCTCCAATTTTTCATTATTTAAACAAAAAATGTTTCTGTTGCAGATTTTTTTTTTCGATATTATTCATAGAATTTTTCACAAGTCAAAATTACATTCTCAAATATTGAGATGCCATTTCTCCTCTCATTAATTGAAGAACAGCTGGACATATAGTATTTGTTGCTGGAATTATACAAGACGGCAAATCTGTTCGTAAATAATTCTCAGAATGATGTAAAGTTTGGACGGGAGTTTCCTTTACTTCTAATTTGTGAGTCTAAAAAAAAAAAAAAAAATTCTTCTATATTCGTTTCGTAAGTAGTGAATTTTAATTCATAAAAGAATTAATTTTATAGAGAATTAATTATTAGAAAAAGGAATTTATTCAAAAAAAAGAAATTTGTTAAGAAATAGTTTGATGGGATTTAAAAAAGATACCTGAGATTCGGCAACAAAAATTTTTCTTGGTTCTGTTTGAATTTGAACACATTCTCCTGTTGCGAGAGAAGGAGTATTTTCAGCAACATCTGCATATTCTCTTCGCGTAGCCATTCCAATTTTTCTATAAATATGGTCATTTTTGTTATCTTCATATTCAATTGGTTGATTGAGATTACTAATACTCGTTGATAAATCGCACTGAAAAATTGCGATAAAAAAGTTTTAAATCGAATTAAACTGAATTTTCCAATGTTTAAAAAAGTAATTTGAAATATAATTTACTTTCGGTTGTTTCCTGCATTTTGAATCTTTTAAATGATGAAAATTGTCTACATCGGGATATTCATAATCTTCCGTAATTTGAGGATAACATTTATTTTTTTTCAAATACATTTCTCTCCAGTAACTGTAAATTAATAAATTGTCAATTCGCATATTTAAATTTAATTTAATTTACAAAAAAACAATAATAATACCTAAAACATAAGATCAAATCTGAGAGAAAAAGAATCGTGGAAATTACACATAAACATAGAATCATTATTATCACCCAACTTGAGTCATTGTTGATCATATAAAATATTATTATAATCGATGTCATTGAAAATAGTAAAAATCCCACAAAACTGAAACCAGCCATCTGTTGTAAAAAAAATTTTTTTTTAATCATGCAAAAAAATACAATATTTATTAAATTATTTTGAAAATAAATATTACTGGTGTTTCTGACAGGCCATTTTTGTCAAATTGATTAATAATATCCACAGCAAGAACAAATACAAAAACTGTTGTCAAGACAAGAAGTATGATGGAAAAAATAATTGTCAATGTAGAAATGATAGTTTCGCTTCGAAAAATCAAATTAGTCATATAAACAACGAAACTAAAGAAAGTCAGTAATACTACCTGTAAAAATAATTGAAAATTTAACTTTTGAAATTAATATTTTACATTTCTCAATATAATGAATATAATTATTAAAATATTTTTTATTTAAATAAAAATAGTTTACCAATTGTAGTACTCTAAGAGGTTTAGCAAACGGTGGTATTTGAAAATGTGCCTTGTTTTTTGCTCTATACGAGTTTTTATTCATCTTGGATGTTTTTTTTTGTAATTCAAAAATTAAATCTTCAAAAAGTAGTTCATTTATAGATAAAATTCATAATTTACTAAAATATAACCTTTATTGATATCGTATTAAATATATAATTAATTTTTGCTACTTTAATTCTTATACATGTACGTACTTCTAAATTTGTCAACATTAATATATTTCTTACTCTCTAGTATATTTTCGTTTAGAATCTTTTTAATTAAATCTTTTTGTTTTGCGTAAAATATTTTTTAAGTGACACTTTTTATCTTTAGCCTTTTGTTTTTTATCTGATTAAATTTGATCATCTTCAAGTTATTCATTTAATTTTAACATCCCATTTTATAACTGAGATTATTCATTTTTGTGATAATTAGAATGAATATTAATAATATAGAGATAAAATAATAATAATTTTATAGTTATGTTTATATTAAAATCATTTATTTATAACAGTATATTTTTAATTACAAAATAAATTTTTAGTTTTCAAAGAAATTTTTTCAATTTTAATAATAAAAAATTTGTTGAGAATAAAAATATCAGTAGCCATAAAGAAAGATCATAATTACATCAAATAAAAAGAGTAAAGAAGCTGTTGCGGATAAGGCAATTGAGAGTGTTAATCTCCAAACATCCTCGACATTTTCTTTTCTTGCAGAAAAATAAATATCCACTGTAGCAATGACATAGAGTAAAATACCTACCACGCCAAATAAGAACATCTGTATTTAAAATGTTTTTTTAGATAATTTCAATTTAATAAGAGTTTGAGAAATTTTTTTCAAAATTTTAGTAATTTTTTTAATTTTGCAAAATTTAACCGCAATTCTAATTTACTTACTGGAGTATCCGGAATGGGATCACCTCCAAATTGACTGATTATATCAACTAGTGTGATAAATAAAAAACTTCCAAAGAGCACAGTTAGTAGAGTTCCTTCCACTTGATAGTAGGGAGAATTTTTTGAAATCGTATAAATTGTCAATGTGAATAAAATGCATACAAGCAGCTATATATACAAATTTAATTATTATAAAATTTTTAATTTAAAAGGAAAAATTTATAAACTCACAAATTGAAATATTCTAATTGGTTTAGCCATTGGTACTGTACAAGGATCTTCACAATTTCCCACAATTGAGTTAGGATTAAATCCACAAGTTGGTCTCATCATTTTTATGAATTTAAAAAAAATGTGTATAGGAAAGCAATTTTCAGAAAAGTTGCATTTGGTTACTTTAAAAAAAAAAAATCTTTAACCTTTGCAGAAAGTTGCCTTGACACATGACAGAATTTTATTTTTGTTTATATGAACTGAAATTTTCAATTTAATAGCCAAAAAGAAAAATAAGGACAACGTCAAGTAAATGTAATAGAGCGTTGAAAAAGCTAATAATTCCTATAGCTAAAAGTAAACTTGAAGAATTTTTTGGAGATTTTGCAAATGTTGCTGTACTTCCGCCACACGCGATTAAAAATAAAATCACTCCACACGATCCAAAAACAAACATCTGAAATATAAAAAATTCTGATTGTTCTTCTTGCATATATTTATAGTTTATGAAATAATTCAAAGTGACTGAAAATTTTATTACCGGAGTATCTGGTATGGGATCATTTCCAAATTGACTGACAGCATCGACAATTTCAATTACGAAAAAACTAAAATTTACAATTCCCAAAAGGGTTAAATTTCCATAATCGAGAACCCAGTGATTTGGATGTGTCAAACCAATAGTCAATCCTAGCAAAAGACTTGAAAAAATCTGGTAAGAATGATATATTATATTATTATAAATATATGATACCATTTTTTTAATTTTTGAAAAATAAATTTTTTTCTCTTTATTTACTGAAATAAATTTTTTTATCCAGTATTTATTAATATATTTTTAATTATTATAAATTGTTTAAATCTATTAATTAGTTAATATTTTTATCATTCGTATTTTTTCAGGCAAAATTGATGCATAATTCATCTTACAAGTTGTATAATTCTAATTGGTTTGACACGAAGATGTCTTTGATCAGTGCAAGATTTTGTGATTTCACTTTCATCGAAAGCATCGATTTCAACAACTTCTGGATTTGAATGACACTCCATATTGAAAACTAAATCTTTAAAAAAAAGTGCTACAAGAATTTTCGGGGATAATAATTATTAATAAAGAAAGAGAATACTGCTAAATTCGTGGTGGCCAGGAAAACAATGGACATTCATCATAAAATTGTTTTTTAATAATACAAAGATGAACACAATTTCTCTTGATAAAACAAACATTTAACCAGAAGGATACATCTTTTGATCTCGAGGTATAGAAAATCTATAAATTCAAATATTTGATAAAAAAAATGTAGTGAAATATTAATCTACAAAAAATTGAAATATTCAAATATATTCATTAAAAAAAAAATATGTTTAATAAAATATAAATCTAAAATGCATTTAATTAAATAAAAGTCTAAAATACATTTAATCAAATAGAAATCTAAAATGCATTTTAATCATATAGAAATCTAAAGTAGATTTAATAAAAATATTTAAAATACAAATTCAGTACTTACAGAAAATTTATAGTAATTATGCACAATTACTTTTTAATATATAAAATAATATATATATATATATCTATAGACAGTAAACTGTCGTATTCTAATCTCAATTGGACGGATTGCGATTCTCAAGTAAAGATATTATTATCTTGTAATATAAAAAGATAAAAATCTTACAAAAATTATATATAATATATAAAAATAGGACGGAGTGCCTGATACTTATTGATATACGAAGTGACATTACATGAAATCTACAAGCTTATAAACTTTGGATTACAGCATTGTACGTTTGAAAATATATTTTACACCAAAATTTCACTTCTTTTGGAAGCAAATTTGGTGGCATGTACTGTAGTAGTCGTGAAATTGAGGAATTCATAATTTTTTTATTTTATTATATGTATTATCAAATAATATTATATCATAATATCGGATAATTGTCCTTCAATTAATAATATTATTTATATAAATAATATTAATTACGTTATATTTTCTCTAAATTTCACGTTCTACGATTGACATTGTATATGTACAATTGCAATGATAATTTGTCTTTTGTACTTCAAAGGCGATATACTCGTGGTATCCTCCATGTGCGTTTTAATCGTTAATAAAAAGCAAACTGAGACTTTAAGTATCAGCAAAAATATTTTACTAACTAGTAAGGCATTGAGATTCTGATTGGCAAATTTGGATGCAGTGAAGATGAATGAAGCATTAATTTCTTATATCTTAATTGTTTACACTGCTTTTAACGCTTTTTATACACTCTTATATACGATAAATTTATTTAAGAGCACTAAATATTAGAAGCTACTGTACATAAATAAATTTTTCTCTTTGAAACTTGTGCATGCATATTTTAAATCATCAAAAAATTATATTTCAGTAAATAACAGTTTAAATTTTATCTTTTAAAGAAAAAGCTTGTTAAACTCTATTAAAAATCGTAATGTTTCTTATGAAACTAAATAATTATTATTTACTCTTCACTGCATCCATTCCAAATTTGGAATTTGTTTTGTTTCTTTTTAAGGAGAGAGCAAAATACTCTACAGTCTTGAATTTTTTTGTTATCAAAATTTTGTTACTAGTATCGAATGGTGAAATATGCGTCAGCAACAAAAGCGGCAAACGTAATGAAAGTGAAAACTCCTCCTGATATTAACATATCTAAATATTGTTTGCTGCCATATGATTCATTGTTGTATGTCGAAATTAATCCTCCTTGCATTTTTCGCCAATTGTGAATAATTAGACTCGCAGCAATAATATGAAAAAGACATCCCACTGTTGTGAACATCATTGCCTGTGTAATAAAAATTATTTTAAATTAGAACAATTTTCTATTATATTTAATCATAATTTATTATTTATTTATTTTATTATTTAAAATAAAATTTCCTGTTCTCGTGAATATTTTAAGCAAAAAATTACAGTCTACTGATGATGAAAACAATTAGTGAGGAAATTAACCAAGGTCTTTATGTGTCCGTTAATTACCAATAGGGCCGGTAATTATCGTGTTACGTAAATAGGGCGTGCCTTCTTTTTCAAACAAAATGCAATTAATTTCTGATAATGTTATATATACATTTTAATTTACAATTTTCAAATTATTCAACAATAATGTAACTATCTGATTTAATCGCGATTGTTGAATTAAATTTTCAACAATTATAAATTCTTTTGATAATTGCCAGTAATTTTGAGCTTTGAATTTTTCTATTGTTTATTTCTTCTTTTTTTTCAAATTAAATAAAACTTACCAATCTTCTTGGAATTCTCTCTCCCAAAATAGCATGGAAAATAATGAAAATTGTATTAATTATTAAAAATGATCCAAGTGTGATGTAAATGAAAGCTATGTCATCCAATTTTGCTGATCTGTGACCAAACGCAGTTTTGTGAAATGAATTAAATGGATCGACTATTAATCCCACGGAGAAAATGGCAAAAATCTGAAATTTTATTAATTAATTTTCTATTTTATTGTCTATTTGTATTTATAATAAAATAAAAAGTAAAATAATGAAAATATTTTACCACTTGCGCCACTTTTGCCAAAATTGGATATGTCCCTATAAAATCTGAATCCGTAGAACTTTGCACTCCTTCTTCTGCCATTCTGACTTTTTTTGGTTTCCGCGGTATATCTTCCAGTTTTACAATTTATTCGTTAAAGTCCTCAAATTTTCTGTAAATAATAATTTTCATTTTAAACAAATATAAATTATAATTTTTCTGTAATAAAATTAATTTTTTTATAATAAATATAATTATGATTGAAAATTGAAATTGAATTCAAATTTTAAATATACGGCAATTAAAATTGTTATATGAATACCGAGATAAACAGTTTATAATGCATTTTAGTTGATAACGCTTAGTGAAAGCTTTAACAGAATTTCTTATCGTAATTTTCTTAAAAAAAAAAAAAAAAATACAGTAAATTAACAATGTTTTTTTCTAAAAAACTGTTGCAGTTATTTTATCAAGGATTTTAACGAAAGGAGAATAAAGATGAAGCTTGAGAATGCACAGCATCATTTTATCAAAGCATTCAGAAACTATATACAATCAACTTCGATAACGATCCACCTTTTGGGAACCACTGCACAGTTATGCTAAGGTCTCTTGTTTGTACGAGAAAATAACCGCTTCATCCTCAACTTGGTTACTTGGAATTTACACGTAGCATGACGTGATCGAGGACACTTTCTTTCTCTCTAAATGTTATTAGTTTACAAACAAAAAAATAGTAAACTCTTTAGTAAAATTAATTATCAATATTGAGATTCAGCTCCGAAATTTGAAAAATATGACTCATGAAACTGGACTCTAATGTACTTTGGATTATACATTTTTTTATTGATAATATTTGAATTAGAATATTTATGGACTGTAATATCCTTGGATTCGTAATATCTTTGAATAATTATGGATTCCTTATTTTTTGAATTATTATTACTTTTAGACTGATAAAATACGTATGGATTTATAATATCATTGGACTGGAATATTTTTAAATTTGTAATATTTTGGATTATAGTATCGTACTGGAATGCGATTGAAATCTCACCTGTCTTTTATAAAATGTTAAAAACAATTTCTCAAGGATTGTTACTCCAAAACCACGTGTATACTATTGTCTATGTTTTGGCCACTCCACAAGACAGTGGTTTTCAATTTCGTGAAACTGGAACCGGAGAACACTTTGATACCACACTGTCGAGGAATTCTGAATGAAATAAAAATCATATATACACTCTGCATAAACAAATCACTGATGAAGAGAGAGAGAGAGAGTGACAACGCCCGAGAAATATAAAGTTAATTTTTTAAATTTAATTTTTAAATTTTATGAAAATTGAATGATTAATGACATTTTTGAAGGTAAGGGTTTTTAACAAAAAATAACAGGTATAAACTATTCTTGAAAATAGTCAAGTTTCAAGTAAACCGCACCGTGGTGTGACTTTAACTGGAACGCCAAGCGTGACACGGTGTCCACCGACAAGCTGCGCAGGTCTGCTAAGCAACTTAGCCCATAATATACAATTCCACTGCCTACGTTTTATGTTCAGAATTCAGGCATGTGGTGTTTTTTTTTTATTTTCTTTTGTGTTGACTACGTTTGAGTGCGTAGTAGTATGCAATAGAGCAGAGAATATATTAATTTTTATCATGGAAAATATAAAAATGATATTGATGAATAACAAAATACAATTATATTATTGATATGCAGAATAGTATTGAAAAAAAGTTACACGAATGAGAGGATCTTGAGTTGCATATAAATGAAGGGAATTACTCACTTGTTCACCGTAAAATACTCTTTGGAGGTGGAAATGTAAACATGTGATGTATAGCAGGAGGCAACGCCACGTTCTTATGGGTGGGTCATAGGTCTGGGCGCGGTCATTTCTCGTGTTAGCAAGGTCCTTTTTTTATATACATACACCATTAGGGACCATCCTGACCTCATTCTGACAATTCCTCGAGTAGAGAGATTCTTCACGCAAAAAATCGATATATCGTTTTCTTTGTTTCTTTTCAAAAATTGAGCATTGTATTATTTTAACAGGGTGTCTAACGGTCAGGGAAACGTCAGGGAATTTTTTTTAGTCAGGGAAATGTCAGGGAATTTCAGAAAATTTCATTCAAAGTCAGGGAAATTTCTGTAAATTTCTAAAAAAAAATTAAAATTTTTTGTGAATTTAAAAATTTTTTAATCTAAAAAAAACTTGAATGGTTTTTATTGTTAAATATGTCAGTAACCATATTTTTGTCCAAAGAAAGCAGAAATAAGATTATTAAAAAGTCAGGGAAAAATCAAAAAATGTCAGGGAGGAGTCAGGGAATTTTTTTCTCAATCCTTGTTAGACACCCTGTTTTAATTTATTTCTTCTTTTAAAGTTTGAAAATTTAATTCTACTTTAGAGTGTTTCTTCAACACCTCTAATAGCTGGAATTTTCATGAAAATTCATTTAGGTTCACGGAATTTTTATTTTAATAGAAATTTCTCACGTGCGTGTTATTGAAATTTGCAAATTGTATTTGTCTATTGAAAATTAATTCCAAATTAAAAATAGTTATAAGTTTTTAATTGAAATAATCATGGTTGATTCTATTTTCAAATTTGAAACTATTTCTATAGATATTGTAATTCATATTTTCGTATAAGATAATTTAAAAATTTGAATATATTTTTATTTTCAATTTTTAATTTAATTCTTCATTGGATTCTATTTGACAATTGGAAATATTTGAAAAAATTGAAATGAAATTTATTTCTGTTTGTTTTTGAAGTGAATGAAATTGGATCACTTGAATTTCCACTATATACTATTATGATGTTCATGTTTCTATACTCCCCCCCCCCTATTCACATATTTTATTTTTGTCTAATTACGACGTTTAGATCAATTAACTTTATCGTTCGTAATCATGCTGTTAACCATCCGGATAGTGGGTGTAGGTCCTGTCAAGCATATCCTCAACGAGGTCAAGTAGATTAATTGGTCTACACGATGATTCGTATTTAAATACATATTTTAAGAAACTAAAGGCACGCACCTCCTTCTTTAATCAATTCTGACATTACAAATTAAATTAAATTCACACCATATATAATTCAAAATAAAATTAGTGCATTCATTATTTTATTTAGATTTATAAAATTATTTTATAATTCATTTTTTATCATTTAAAATAATTGCAGTCTTTTTTTTTGTATAGAAAATTTTATTTTCTTAATAAATGTATTTTATATAATGCTAAAAAGTCTTAAGTTACAAAAATTCCGTTTATTAAAATATAAATAGAAGGTGTGATTGTTGTAGAGAAATAACGTAGACATTTTAATGATAATGTTTTTTTTTTCAATTGTTATTAAATGAGTCAGTGTAATTCGTGAATTGAAAAATCGTGTGTTTCTCAAATAATAGTGAATTATGAAGATTGTATTATCATGACTAATGCTCTATTGATTTCAGTTTTATGTTGTAAAGTGATTCACTACTTATATTAATGAAATGATGAGATGTCTGTGTATCGCGTTGAATGTACATACTTTAATTAAGAGACGAAAGTACCAAATGATTGTAAAGTGGAAACAAAATTTTAGATCTTTGCAATATTTTTTTTTTAATTTACAAAATGAAACTGAATTTTAGATAGTTTGATATATAATTAAAATTTAATTAATTATTTCAATTATTAAACATTTAAATCAATTCAAAGAGTTTCAACAATTTTAAGAGTAATTTAATTTTTACAATCAGAAACTTTCGCTTTTCTTAATAATTAAATTTTTGATCATCACCAAATTCTTCTTTAGCAAAATGTAAGAAACTTAAAATTAAATCAATCAGATACGCAGCTCCTTCCACAACACAAAGAGAACCCAACGCCAATCCGACCTAAAAATTATTTTTTTTTTTATTTTAGAATAATTTATTTCATAAAAATCTACATAACGGAAGTTGGAAATTAAATTTACCTGTCTTTCCGTTGTGTCGTACATTAACTTATGTTCTGGTTGATAACCGTGCCAATAATGAAGGGCCGTTCCACCAACAGCAAGAAACATAATCATTCCAACAAAGTTCATAATAATTTCCTGTGAAAAAAAAAATTTTAATATTAATTTTTTTTTTTAGAAATTTTGACTTTAAATGACTTTGCTATTAATAATTACAGTAAGACTTCGTTTTTCTGCTGTACTTCCGAAACAAAATCCAAGTAGAATTACAGCCGTGTAAATAAAAAATCCAACAAAAACACCAGAAGCGACAATTTCAGCGTCTGGATTTTTGTCTTCATTTAAATTCCATGTCCCGCCGACTCCCAGGAATTCTCCTGAATATCCAGTACGATAGAGAATCAAAATGATTAAATTAATTACCTGAAAGTGAATTTAATTCTTTTCAATTAAATTAATTCATGATTTACAATTATTTATTGTTAAAATATCTAATAATTAATTAGATTATAGAATTAAATTAGTATTTAATTTTTTAATTTAATGTAAATTTTTAATTAAAACTAATTTTTTTTTATTTAAAAATAAATCAGTTAATTATTTAATTTTTTATGAAATCAGTAGATTAATTTGAAAAATGGATTTTTACCTGTAGATGCAATTTCGTTTTACAAATTTATCTATTATCTACCTTTTATAAACATTGTGTTATCATTATCTGATAAAAAGTGAATCACAAAAGCATGTAAAATTCTTATTCAATGAATGCATTAATTTAAACAAAATCCGTTTTATAATATAAACAAAACAAATGTACAATTGTTTATTTCTAAACAAATTTCAACTTTTAATGAAAGACTAAAAACCTCATAAATATTGAAGGAAAGAAAATGAAATTTATATTAACAATAATTATTTAATATTAGTTCTAATTATATTTTTGAATTGAAGATTCTCTATTAACATATTTTTATGTTATTAAAAGTTATATTCTGTTATTACTGTTGTTAACAATTTAAAACCAGTTAACTTAGTATTTAATTAACTTTAAATTCTAAATTTATTATTTAGAAAAAAAACTATTTACTTAATGATTCAATGACGAAAGTTAAAATTTTTTTCATGACCATCTGATGATAAATTAAAGATATTTTGGAAAATTAATTGTTTTTTGGTTCGAAAAATATTTAGTAAAATAAATTTAAATGTGAAAATGTTATTTTTTTAATGCACTTACCAATTTTAAGGATTTTAACACTATAGTTCCAATAGTTTGCACAGACACCATTTTTTTAAAAAAAATTTTTCTATATATATATATAAACTTTTCCGAACTAGTTCGTGAAGAAAAGATAAATGAAATGCGATTCACGCCGTGTTCGATGGGTTGTGAGAACCAAGCCCTCTTTATCTAATCAGAAAAGATGTATGTTAAAAAAGAGATAAAACAATGAGGCAACAATATACCTGAGCGCAAGCGTAACCCGAATGCCCTAAAAAATATCTTAACCATTTTATTATTCATGAAAATTATTATTTACATATATATAAATAAATGCTTTGTTTTAATTATTATCTTCAAAAAGAAGAAATGAATACAGAAATCCCTTTCTCGTCTGGTTGTCTATGATAAAAAAATGTTCACTGACATTTAGGAAAATTATATTAGATTTAATAATTATTGAATTATAAATAATAATAAAAGGACATATTAATTAACAAATTATATTTTTTTCAGGAATTGGGATTGAGCGTAACACCTGATCAAATTGCTGAAATGGAGGCTCACATCAATGATATTGACTATGAGGCTGTGGCAAAAGAAGAAAATTTAACAAGACACGATGTCATGGCTCATGTTCATATTTTTGGAAAATTATGTCCAAAGGCTTCGCCTATAATTCACCTCGGTGCGACGAGCTGCTATGTCGGAGATAATACTGTAAGCTTTTTTTCTCGATAAAAAAATTAATTTATTTTTACACTTGAGAATTTAGAATCTGTTATCAAAAAATTCTATTTTCTTATTCAATATGGAAAATATTTTTAAGAAATATTTCTATTTTTTTTATTTTGCGCTTATATAAAATAAATATTTTAAAAGTGAAAAGAAAATAAATTTTTCTTAATTTATTTTATAGGATTTGATTGTTATGCGAAATGGATTTGACATCTTGTTGCCGAAATTGGCAGCTATACTTTCGCGACTTTCGAAATTTGCAACGGAACATCGATCACTGCCAACTTTGGGCTTCACTCATCTTCAACCAGCTCAATTGACGACAGTTGGTAAAAGAACAACTTTATGGATGCACGATTTATTGATGGATGAAAGGGCAATTCGTCGAGCTAGAGATGATCTTAAATTTCGTGGTGTTAAAGGCACAACAGGAACTCAGGCCTCGTTTCTTCAATTATTTAATGGTATTTTATTTTTTTTTGGTGAAAACACAATTTTTATTTATGTTATTTTTAGATATTTTCTAGTAAATAATTTTTTTTTTTAAAGGTGATGGAGAAAAAGTAAAGAAATTGGATTCATTAGTTACAAAAATGGCTGGATTTGATAAATATTATTCCGTAACTGGTCAAACTTATTCTAGAAAAGTTGATGTTGAATGTCTTAATGTTCTGAGTTCTCTTGGAGCCACTGTACATAAGGTATATCAACTTTATTATAAATTTAAATTTCGTGAAGTAAAAAAAAATAATAAGAATAATTTTACACTGTTTTGCAGATTTGCAGTGATATTCGAATTCTAGCAAGTAGAAAGGAAATTGAAGAGCCTTTTGAAAAGACACAGATTGGATCGAGCGCAATGGCTTATAAGAGAAATCCAATGCGTTCTGAAAGATGTTGCAGCATTGCACGACATTTGATGATATTAACAAACAATGCACTTCAAACGGCAGCAACTCAATGGATGGAAAGAACACTTGACGATTCAGCGAATCGACGCATTACTCTCGGTGAAGCATTTCTTGCTGCCGATTCTATATTGATGACATTGCAAAATATCTCCGAGGGTTTGGTTGTTTATCCTAAAGTTATTGCCAGATTTATCGCTCAGGAATTACCTTTTATGTCCACTGAGAACGTTATCATGGCAATGGTCAAAGCTGGAGGCGATAGACAGGTTTTTAAGCACATTCAATTATTTATTTATTTATTTTAAATTATTTTTTTTAATCAAAGTAGAATTTGAGGATAATAATTGAAAGTATTCGATATATTTGTGAATAAATTCTAATCGAAGAGAACAATGGATAATAAAATAAAAGAAAAAAAAATTGAGAATATAGGTACAATTGAAAGATGAAAGTACTGAGATACTTTTTGAATTATATAGGTTTGTCACGAGAAGATTCGAGTTTTATCTCACGAGGCAGGAGCTCAAGTCAAGCAACACGGATTGGATAATGATCTTGTTGAAAGAATAAGAAAAGACTCGTATTTCCAACCGATATTAGATCAACTTGATGATCTTTTGGAACCGGCAACATTTGTGGGAAGAGCTCCAGAGCAGGTTTTAGAATTTTTGCAAGATGAGGTGCAACCTGTTCTAAATTTGTATAAAGATTTGGATTTGAAGACAGTCAAGCTAAGTATATAAATTAAAATCAATTGAAAAAAAAAATGAATTACAAGGAATTTTATAAATGAATAACAATTGTGATTAATAATTATGCTTTTTATTAAACAACGCATATATATGTGTATATTGACTTGTATATTCGTTAGATGATTTTTACAGATTTGTATAATTTTTAAAACAAAAAAAAAGAATGTCACGATTTTATTCACCTCGATGCATTAAGTACAAAATAAACTTTTATAAAACTTAATATTTTGTATAAAAACTTAAACTTAAATGCCTTTTTGTAATAGATTTTTTTTTTTTTTTTTTTTTAACACATTAATTGCTGTGATAGCAAAAATACAGAAAGACATTAAGAATTTGTACCAAATGAAACCGTCATCTTGTAATTTACTTTTCTATGAGCTATTAAAATAAGATTGGATAGAAAGAGATACACACAGACATGAATAGAAAAGAGAAGAGAAGAAGGATAGATTGTTGAAGAGATTTTTTTTCAGAAAAAGAATATTTGAAAAATGAAAATGAAATAAGAAATATTGAAGTTTGAGTAAATTATTTTATCATGTAATTAATATATATCGGTTTCATTTGAAAAATTCTGTAAAATTTATTTTTTAGAGGAAAGAAAAGAAGTATAGAATTCATTTAAAAAAAGTTGAAAAGAAGAAGGGAAAACAATAATAAAGAAGAGAAGAGAAAATAGTGAAGCTGAAATAAAAAAGTAAAAAAGGACAGAAAAGAAGAAACAAATAATAAAATATAAAGAAGAAGTAACTTAGAAAAAAGGGAAAAAGATAAATCGGACTTGGAAAATAGTGCGAAGGAAAATAAAGATCTAATTACAGGAAGAAATAATAGAAGACTAGAGTAACAAGAATAAAAATGATGAAATAAAATAGTATAAAGAAATAGAAAAAAGTGAAAAGAAGAAGCAAGGAAATAGAAAGAATAGAAAAGAAAAAATAGTAAAAAGATTTACAATGAGATAAAAGAAAACACATAACAAAAAAATATAGAATTTAAAGAAGAAATAAAAAGAAGAACGTGAAAAAGTACTAGAAAAAATAATAAAGAAGGCAAAATTACAATAAGAAAAAAAGAAAAAGTACAGAGAAGAAGAAATAGTAAACGACACAAATTAAATTAAGAAAAAAGAAGAAATATTGGAAAGAAGAACTAGAAGAAAAATTGCAGTAAGAAAAGGAAGAATACAAAGTGAAGAAATATGAAAAGTACACAAGAAATATAAAACAAAAGGAAAAATAAAAAAAAAACTAATAAGAAGCAATTAAATAAAAGAAAAAAAGTGAAAGTAAAAAAAATAGAAATGGTAAATAAAGAATAGTAAAAATAAAATAATAAAAAGAAATAAAAGAATAGAACGAAAAAAATAGAAAGCACTAAAAAGAAGAGAAAAAAGGAAAGCAAAGGACTCGACACAAAAAATTGTCGAAGAGAAAATCGTGGAAAGTAAAGGAGAAAATTGAAGAAATTTGAAGAGAGGGAAGAGAGATAGAGATAGATAGCAGTTTTAAAAGAAAGATAGAAAAAAAAGAATGCATTTTCAGTTTATTGCAAAGTAAAGCTCAGTGTAGACAAAATGTACAGGTAATATATAAGAGTTCGTAACATTTAATTGATTGTTACTAAATTTGGTTGTAAGCTTGAGTGTCAGCTGAACATATATATAGAAAATGAAGATGATAGAATGTATTTTGTAGAAAAAAGAAAATGATATTGAATATAATAAGTACATTTTGATAAGACAACACAGTAGAACAGAAATTGAAAAAACATGAGACAAGTAATCACAGCATTTGCTATAGAGAGAAACATGAATAGACGAAAAAAATTACATAAAAATAAAATTTGCATACAGAAAATTGAATTTCCTGTTTTATATTAATTATTATTTAAATTTAGTGTTTACACTTAATTAAACATTTTTTTTGCTACTAATAAAAATTATAATAATTCAAATGAGAAGATTTACTAATGAATTGTGAGAAATAATATCTAACAATTAAAAAAATATATATAAATGACGTGTAGAATTGGATGTTTTAAAGCATATTTGATCACAGCATTAAATTTATATATGGTATGAAAGACAAGTATGGTAAAGGCACCAACAATTCAAATATAAAGCGGCATCGGTGGAATATTACAGACAAAAAGAGTCGAGTGAAAGGAGAAAAGTAGAATAGCCGTTGAAAGTGGAACGTTGGTTTCATTTTAAGATATATGAAGAAAATGAAAGTACATGTGGAGAACAGAAGAAAAAGAAAGAAAGAAAAAAGAGTACAAGAGAGAAAATAAACAAGAGAAAGAGGATAGAAGCAGAAAAGAAAAAAGGGAAAAGTAAAGAAAAGGCAAAAAGAAATATAAGAAGAAAGAAGAAAAATATTAAGAAATAAAAGATAGAGAAAAAAGAAAGGAGAAAAGAAAGGATGTTACGAAAATTGAATAAAAAGATAAAAAAAGCAGGAATAAAAGTAAAGAAGAAAGGACAGATAAAGAAGATAAAGACAAAGAAAAATAAAAGTAAAAGCAAGAAAAAGGAAAGATAAAAGAAACAAATAAAGATTTACTTAACGAAAGATGAAATAAAAAAGGGAAGAAAACAGTAGTAATTTTTTTTAAAGAATAAAAAAGTAAAGATAATAGAAAAGAAGAAACATGAAGTTACATATTATAATCAGGTACAATTGTAAAACAAAATTTCAAGAGAGAATAAAATAAAGATATGAAAGTGAAGCTGAAAAATAGAGAAAAATAGAAAATTGAAAGAATGATAGAAATGAAGAATAAGAATGGGAAATCTTAAACCCGGCAAGAAGTGGCTAACGAATAGAAGAGTAATACTGATAGGTGAAAAGAAAAGGAATTAGAAATGGAAAAGAAAAGATCACAGATAGATATGAAAATAAAGATAAGAAGAAACAGACAGAAAATAATGAAAGTAGAAGAAAAATAGAAATTTATATAGAAAATGGAATTCTACATGGAAGACTTAGATGAAGAAAAGTCACAGAAGGAAGAGAAGATAAAAAAATAGAAAATTTGTAATTGAAGAAACGGAAGAAATGGAAGTGATTGAAGTTGAAAATGAAAGAAATCTAGACAAGGAGTATAGAAAAATAAACTCAAAGAAAAAATAGTGAAAGTTACCAAAAAGAAAGATAGAGAATATATAGAAAAATAGAAAAAAAAATTGTAAAATATTACAAGTTACATTTTTTTTAAATTCAAAAAAAAAGAAGTGGAAATCCAGATTTTCGAATTTTTCTTCGATTGTTTATAAGTTTAAGTTGCTATCACAGTACGTTGTCGCCAATAAGTTCGACAAACGCGTTTATTTTGAGCGACCGCTTTTACTAATAAATTCTAATTTTTTCAAATTAACATAATTTCAAAAAAATTGCATTGTTTTAAAATTTGCAAAGTTTTTTTTTTTATCTTTTAATTTATCCGATGTTTAACGGTCGTCATTGCCTTCTTATCGAAAAGGTCCAAACTCATAGGGTAGGATATATATATATATATATATAGAAGTCAGTAGTATTGGTAGTAGTAGCAGTATTATGTAAATCGCTTTCGGTTCAGTGTGAAGGGATCAAATTTTGTTTGTGAGAGAAAAAAAATCACTTTTTCGAAACTCGATATCCAGAAAAAGTGGCTGCTCCTCCATCGATGAGTTTTCCTTTTTCAACAAAGACTGATAATTGATCGCCAACGTCAACGTCAAGAAGTACCAAATTGGAACCACCACCTGATCCCACATTTGCCACTGGATTCCATTTTTCTGATTTATTGAGTTTTCGTTTTAGAATCAATTGAAGCTCAGAATCGCCATAGCCAGCGAAACTAAATTGATAGAGACCTGGACAGTGGGTGGTGAAAATTCCTGTTTCAGCGACGTATCCAATTCCTTTGTCAATCAACGTCTCGGCGAGAAGCAATTTTGAATCCTGAAAAAAGTATTTTATTATTATTATTTAAATTTTAGAAGAAAATTTAATTTGAAATTTAATTCTACATGAGATAACTTAAGTCTTAAATAAATAATTTTGTATTAGTTATTGATTTTTATTTTTTCAGCGTTTCTAGTGAAATGCAGAAAAAGATTAATTTGAAGAAACTCACTTTAACGGAGCCATGAGATGCTGAGAAGGCAATAACACCAGCGCAGTCAGTTGCTGTTGCCAATTTTTTCGAACCAACGGTCGTGATACCGGAAGTCTGCGAATCTGTTGATGCAGCTTCGGCCAAGAGGGCCACTGTCGCTAGTATCAGCGCCGTCCACACCACCCTGAAAAATTGGAAAATTTATTATCATCTAAAAATTATCTCTTAGATAAAAATTTAAAAATAGGTATAAAGAAGTTATTTAAAATTCTTTTATTTATAATTTTAGTTTCAAATTTACTTTTAATGAGTTACGATTCTAATTTACGTGATGTCAATTCAGAAATATTTAGAATTTATAGACAATTTGTGAGCGATCTTCTAATCAAGGTACTTTGGGATTTCTTATAACAGAGAAAGCGAGTTCAACGTTGCGCAACTGTCCTTTTTTTTTATTTCATGTTTCTTTTCGTGCGCTACAAAAGTTTAGATAGCTCGCCTAACCACTGGTCCTTTCACTTTATCCAAAACTAAATATTTTTTTTATTGATGAACTATTTTCAGTTCTCTCTTTCTTTCTTAATTATCGACAGAAGTCAAAAAATTTTAATTCAAATGAATTCATTTTTAAGGGGCCTTAAATTTTTAAATTTGAATAAAAAGAGAATTTCATAATATTTTCCAAGTTATTCAACACGTTTTTTCAAAAAAACATCAGTTTAGAAAATTTTCATCATTAACGTAAAATTTACAAAAAAAATTTCCTCGAAATTAAATTTAATTTCAAATTGTTTTATTAAAAAAAAAAAAGAAAAATTCTATTAAAATTGCAAATTATTCAAATCTGGATAATTTAGAGGTACGCGGGAAAAATAAACGAAAACCGGTTTTGATTATTATAAAAGTTGTGTGTTTTATTTCATTATCTGCATCTAATGAATATGTGTAGACCCGTAGGAACCGGTAATCAGATTTCAAGAGTTAATCATACATGCATGATCGATTAATTCAATTGATCTACTCCACTTTCTATATATATATATATATTATTTCAGGGAAAGTTTTTGCGTCTCTAATTGCAAAGTTACACTCGCGTTATCGTTCGAGAGTATGCTGCTTCATTTTCTTCTACATCTTCAGAAAGGGAGAAAATCCTATGTTAAATAATGATCATTCGCAGTAGATCAGAATGGTAATAACGGGACAATCGCGGACACTTGGGACATGCAAAACGTGATCTCGCAAATCGTGTCGATCAAGTTGGGTGCGAGTTTAATGTTAGAAATCCTTTCACTTTCCCGAGTTTCAAGGCAAGTTCGTGATATGTGAACGTCTCGGTATCGTATATACACCTTTCGCTTTGACATAGTGGCGAAATTGAAAAACGAAAAAGAATAAATAACATTAATTGTTATACTATTTTATTATATATATCTTTTTATTATTATTCCCATGAGCAAAGTATTTCAATACACGTTGAATTTAATTTAATTCTTACTTTCCTTTCACTTATTTTTCACATGATTTACGAGAAAATAAGCTTTAATAATAATAAAAATAATTACAAAAATAATTATAAAAATAAAGTAACAACAATAACTAATAAAATGAAATAATATTCTTTGATTATAAGTTTTCACCGATTGATAGAGACTTTATAACAATTAAATATTTCTTATTCCTTTTTTTTATGAGTATACAATAAATGAAAAAATATGTAGTACATTTCTATTTACTGTAAAATCTTTCATTTTTCAGGTCACTTTGATTGAATCAATCTATTCATCTTCGTAGCAAACAATTTTCTTCTCATTATACATCTCGATGGGTTTACATAATGAGAATTTAAATATGTGATGAATATTACCCAAGCAAAATTCCATTACCGATGTGTGGGATTAACAATTTCAATTATTCTCATAATAAACAGAAAAAAAAATCCTACTTCAGATGCAGGTCAGTAAAAAACGAAGATCGTGACACTTATTATTTATGCAATTAATTTACATTAATTAATAATTATTTTTCTTTTTTTATATATAAAAAATAAAAATAAGTTTGTGATTCAGCGTATTTTGTTACGTTGTTTAATTTTTATTTCATAAGTTGGAAACTAGTTTATGTAACGTAATTCGTAATATTTTATATTGTTTGCACATAGAAAAAAAAATGAAACAATAAAATTTTTAATGGAAGAAATTTCACTTGGCGATGTAAAAGATTATTGTAAAAAATATTATTGTTTTATTAAAATTTTAGTATTGGAAAAATGTTTATATTTAAATAATATTCTAGTATGTAAAATTAATTTTATTTAATTAAACTTTACAATTAACTAGAGATTATAAATTAAAATTGTAAATTAAAATTGAATTTATTACTATTAGTTTAATGTTTTTTTTTATATTAATATTTAACGAAATATTTAAAAATCCACAGATTTAAAATTGTTATTTTGAATAATTATTACCATGCGAGCAATTTATTTATTACAAATGTAATATGTTGATTATTGTGTTATTAAGAAAAAAAAGTGTTTATTTTTCTCTATTTTTTTATAGCGAGGACTTACATGATGGTCGAGTGTGGTGTGGGACGGAGACACTTCCTGACCGAACTGTTGGTGGTGTTTCCAGTGAACGATTTTCAGGTACGCTAAAGTTGATCGGTACGACGAAGGCCTTTATATCACTTCCGAGCTTGAACTACCTGATCTCCTACCCAACGTACACAATTCTCTCTCATTTCTTCAATCTCCCTCTCTTTTTCTTTCTCCCGCTCTCTCGCGTGTTCAATATGTCCCACCTAATAAAACGGTTCTATTTTACGACTTGAAGCATTGACAATCGTCAATGACCGTCAAGATTATTCTCTGGCAGCTAATTACAATCGACAAAAAAAAAAATAAAAACTATAGAAACATTAACCATTTCGTTTAAAAGACTATAGTTAAACAGAATGAAGTTCCAGTGAACTACTTTGCTTAATGAGCTTACTGTTTATTTCAGTCTCGCTTCTGAAAGGAAGCCTATATAGCTTTGGAAAAATTAAAAGTTCTTAATTGTAATTTATTGTCAATTAATGTTGTCGCTGTTGGCTATCTTGTTGAAGATACATTTTATTGATAATTAGTATTTATAGTTTAATTACAACTAGCGGAATATGGCGAGTGATTTATTTTTCAGTAATTAATTTTTTTTTATTCATTAATTTTCATTATATTGATAAATATAAAATAATTTCAACAAAGGTTTATAATTAGAAAAATTATTTTCTGTCGCCTCAAATTTGATTTTTATCAAAAAAAATTTTAAACACTCAAATGAAAAGAAAAATTTAAATCCTTGCTACTGTATAACGAAATATTAAGAAGTGGAACAATTATTTAAATACGTATTAAATATTAATGGAGAATTAATTTGAAAGAAATTCATTTGCATATATGCGGGATTAGAAGTATTTTTTAGTGATACTTTGTCAGTATTAGACTCGAATCATTTTACACGTTGTTTAACATGTAGTTTAAGTTTGAAAATTTTTATACTTATGAAATTTTAAATTTCCTTACTTGAATTTCTTTAATTTTTTTTTTGTTTCTCACATTTCCTGAAACCACAATTATAAGTTATAAATTTATTGAAGCATAAATTATATCGTAGAGTTACCTTAAGTATAGCGGCTCATTAATTTTCATGTCTTGAGTTCGCGCTCAGTAATGTGAACGACTTTTTTTTTTTTTGCAAGAGAAGCTCGTAAGTGTTTTGAATACCTAATCAAGACAAGTGTTTGCAGATTAATCGCTATGTTGTCTAGTGAATAATTTTTTTTTTTCATCTAGGAACTAAAAATAAAGTGGAAAATTATTTGTTGCAAAAAATTAATTATACTGAAAAATTAGTCACTCTATAGTCGTAATTAATAATTAATATGGAAAAATACTAAATAATTGAAATGATAATAGATTTTATATTTTTAGAGATTTATTATCATAAAAAAAAATTTTTTAATTTTTTAAATAAAGTCTTTGTTTTGTTATCTTCTTTGAAATAATTTCTTGATGAAAATGTATCAGTAGGTCATTACAGCACCCTCACTTTTTGTCGACACACTTTCTTTCAACGGTAGATGTATATATAGAGGTACTTCATTTTATTCCCTTCTATCGCGCCTCTTTCTTTCTTCCTTTTCACTTTCTTTTTCTTTTTCTTATTTTTGGTTCAGAGACAGTTCTTTGCAGTCAAATATAGTCAACGGTATTATTAATCAAGCACAACATCAAAAAAGCGTTCCTTGAAATCAAATGAATAGAATGAAAGTTACAATATGAATAATTGGATGTCTCTCTTTTGATTTATTTCGACATTTGAAAAACGAGGATAATAGATTAAAAAGAAAATACGGGGGAGGGGGGATTTAAGAAAATATTAAAATTAATAATAAGAAAAGAAATAATAAACAAAAGAGAAACAAATATTTTAAATATTTTCATAACACGATATATAATTTTGATATTCGCAAAGCTTTCTTTGGCAATATTTTTCTTCTTCTCCGTTGACAATGAGACTTTAGAACCTTCCGTATATGAATTTTTATTAAAATTGACTTTCGTTTTGTAGTTTCACTTGTAAGAATATTAATGTTATGAAACCTGGTCAAGTTTCCTTTATCTTCAATGCAACGACGTTATATTGAGTTTAGGTAGAATAATTTTTATGACGCAAGTTTCAAAGTTAAATGTGCGTGTAAAGTTGAAAGGATTTTAATTTTTTTATCAGCCTTATCCAACAATCGTACTTTCAAATTTATGAATTTAATATTAATTTTAATGATTCAACATTTTCTAGTAATTAAAAGTGATAATTAATATTTAACAATAAATTTTTAATTAAACTGGTAAAAAAATTATAAAATTTCTAACTTTAGATTAAATTAGCAATAAAATTCTATTGATCTTTATTTTTGATTATTTCAATTATAGTAATTTAAAAAAATATTTGTATTTTGTAATTTTCCTGTTGTTAAAGGTTCATAAACATTATATTGATAATTGTCGAGTTTGAAAATTTAGTTATTGGTTTTATTTGTTTTAGAACTTTGGTGAAAGTAGTTCAAACAGACTTATAATTTGTTTTTTTCTGTCTCATTAATAGTTTGACCACAATTGTTAGGTGATTTTATTGTCGTTAAAATATGTCCCTCAGTTTACTAAACTTTTAGCGGTCACTGAACTCGGCTTTCTATTGACCTGTGTGTGTTTGTGTTTCATGAACATTTGGAAATTGAATAGAGACCAATTGTATTGCAATTCTTTAAAATTCGGATACGTAACGAAGTTATTACTTGATTTTTACACTAGAAATCAAAAGAACATCGACGATTCGCTTCGTCTCCCTTCCTCGAAAGTTTCGCATTTGTCATTTTGCTCGATTTCGAATGCTGGTCGAGCATGAAAAAAAAATTATATTGAACTGTATTCAGGAAATTTAACTCGACTTTCTTAACTTAAATTACAATCAATATTGAATTGAAAAAAAAAATTATTCCGTTTGTTTTAATTAATTAATTATTATTTATTAATTTATTTAATTAATTATTATTTATTGACTATTATTTATTAATTATTATTCTAATTTTATTCGTAAGTTGTGGGTTTTTTGATAAATTAAATCTCTCGTGTACCAAATTCAACGATCTTTATTCAAATATAAAAATCTGATTATAATTCTTCAATTCATACACTTGAAATCGAGAGAGCAATTATGACTTGCTTGTCGATTTTATAACTAGGCGAAAGTTTTATTTAGAACACGCATGAAAATCTATCATATTTTTACTATTTTTCTAACGTTACTTTCTCTCTCGGCTGATAAGTTGAATTTACATTAATAACTTATAAAGCGATTTACATTTTACAGATAATAAAAACGATTATGAAAATTATGAAATATTTTCCATTATTATTTTTTTTTAGTTTTCTATATAAGTATGATTCATATGTAACCAGCAATAAACATATAACTATTTGATATTTGTTGGTATATAATAATTTTTAAATAACGTGAAATTACCATGAGTTAAAATGCAAAATTTAGTCAATCGTAAACTGTTAAAATTGAACGTAACTATTTTCTGAGTTTTTCTTTTATTATTTGAAGAAACCATTACAAATGGCATTACGTATCATTATGAATCATAAACGAATGGCACGTTATTCGTTCCTTCACTTAATGATATGAGTTAAAAATAATAATTAGTTAAATTTAGTTTAAAAATATTATTATTTGCAAATATTTTTGGCGAATTCATATTTTTTATATTCTTTTAAAACATTCAATATTGAAAGAAAAGAATTTTCATTCTTGAGAAAGTAGTATGTTGGAGAAATAAAAAATTATCGTACGTCTTGTTAAGTTAGGGTCAGTAAAATAAAATTTTATATACAAAAAATAAATCAGTATCTAGTCTAAAATAGCGGTAACTGTAGTTTTGATTCTTGTCTAATTCTATAGAAACAATGAAAAAATGCGAGGATTCTGAAGCTTTTAAAAAGACGATTTTAATCGTCATGTATGTAATTCATGTTTCTTTTATTATTATTTATTTTTCTAATCGAATTCTAATACGAGACACGAAGCTATAAATAATGTAATATGTATGTACAGAAATTTTGAAGAAAATAAGATACTTATTTACATTATTCATGGTCCTGTAGACCAACCTAAGGAAACAATTTGTTAATCAGAAAAAAATGTTATTTTTGTGAAAAATAAATAAATATGAAAATATTAATTTTCTGCTCTAATATTTTAAAATAATTTAGAATCTTGACCAGGAGAAAGTAACAACTTTGTATCAACTCTTAAGAGAATTTTGAAAGAGTTTTCCTATAAAGAGGTTGGCCTGATTCATTTTTATATATTCATCTAACCATTCTAATCTTCTAATTTCTAGATTTTCAATTTAAAATTAGTACAAAATCTAAATCGAATTTTAATTATTTAATTTGATATTAATTTTAAATGAAAATCTAGTCTAATCATTGCATAATTTTAATTAGATTTTTTTTAAATTTTAAGTTTAATTGAAAAAAATAATTAAAAATGTAATCTAGTAATGTCAAGTCTAATATCCTAGGTTTTTTAAAATAAACTCCCGTGGAGACTGTTGAGCACATTTTACACGAGAAGATTGTCATCCTGACAGGCTGGTCCTTTACTTGGCCAGTTACAAGCTCCAGCCGTTGAGTCAAAGGTCAAATGAATTGGACAATTGAAAACGTGTCGAGAGAATTTTTGTTTCCATTCGTCCCAATGACACACATAGAATTTATTACAAAGTTTCGGATGACGGAAAAGACCAGGTCTTGCACAATCGCCATCTTCATTATCAATCACAGAGGCTGTATCGTGTTTACTAATTTCAAATCTCTTCTTTCCTCTATCAATTATTGAGGAAGATTTGCCAAAGAGGGATTTTCCAGATCTACCGTTTGCTATTCTACTACTAGTGGCTATTGTCGCACTTCCTACATTATTATTATTATTATCTGTGTGTATTATGTATCTTGATGATCCTCGAGCTTCATTGACTGGACGTCCCGATGTTGGAGATGAATCTTCTTCTAATTCTGTTAGACGAGCCGGTTTAACTGAAAATTTTATTTATTATATTATAATTATTTAAATAATTGAAATTAAATTTTTTTCCTTACCTTGGTGATGATCATAAACGCGGATAATTGGACCATTATATTTTGGAAGATCTTGTGAACATGGTGTAGTTGCTTCAAGTTTTTCCAGTTTCTCATCTGACTCTTGACTAATTTGCTTCTCGGCCTTGATTTCACCAATTGATGCTTCAGCTTTTATTCTCTCGATTGCCTTGTCAGCCTCGAGATCCACATAAACATCGGATTCATCATAATTTGCTAGATCAACAATTCCACGTGATGATGGGATTGATATGTGTTTTCTTCGTGGACCACGGAAAATATCAAATGGATCTGATTTACATGTACATTCGGCGCCTAATTTTCCCAATAAAATAGGATGAAGATCAGTTAATTTGACAATTATTTTTCGACCTCTACCATTTGTTGTTTCTGCAGAAATTGATTTATCCTCCTCTTCCTTGTACTCGGGTGTTGTGGAATAAATTTTACGATAATTTCCATGATAGGTGTTAATAGATGGTGTTATGTCTGTTGTGTATTGATTTTGTCCTTCAACAGATGAAATTGGTTTTGAAGTTCCAAGATATTTGGTCTTCATTTCATCAATGTATGCACTGTTTGGTGTAAATTTCACAGAGCCACGGTTTTGATTTTCATTAATTTGCTTATCGTTAAAATCGAATCTTGTTCCACCGACTGCTGTGGTAATGGCATCAGAACCTGCCAATTTTTTGCCAACTGTGGAATATCCTTTCTCGGATGAATATGAAGGTGTTGTAAAACCAATGTATTCAGTTACAAATTCATCTCTTGAATCCTGTGAATTTGATGGAATTGGGAATTGAGTTGTAAATGGTCTTCTGTAGGTGACGCCAGATTCTGGAGAAATTGTTGTTGATGGTATGTACACCTACAAGGAGAATTTTTATAGTAAACAATATTTTCGATATTTTAAAAAAAAAATTATCAACTTACGACTTGTGCATCTGTAACTGTTTCTCGATCATAATCAGTTGATGTCACATAATTTCGATTGTCATCATTCTTGGAAACTGTGTAGTCGGATGTTGTACTTGTACTAGAAGAACCGCGATAAATCTGAAACATCAATCATTTTAGAAATCGTGCATTTGTAAAAGAATGTTTAGAAGAAAAAAAATGTTCCACTATACCTGTCCCTTTTCTGCCTGAGACGAAAGACTGACCGCCATATTTGGTTGAGTTACTTTATGACCGAAAATTCCTCGATCATTGTCACTGGTGACCTGCGAGTAATCATTTGTTTGATATTGTGATGGTTTCTCCGTGGAAATAGGATTTTGATTATCATATCTAGCTGGTGTGACAATTACAGGAATTTTTGTTGGTGAAACTATTGTCTTGTAGCCATCGTCAACAATCGGTTGTACCGAAGTACCACCGGGAATTTTGGCAGCTTGATAAATTGTTGTTTGGAATGATTCCTTGGGTCCAGTTGTATATCCTACAGGGATGATTGGTGATTGATAATCGGATCGGAAATCCGTTTGTTTATTATCTCCTGATTGATAAATTGAAGATTGATAACCTGTGCTCGTTTGATCTGAATTTGTGAACGATCCGGATGTTGATTGAAAATCTACTTCCTTGAATTTGTCAGATGGATAACTTGGTCTGTTATAATTGTTGGTAACTGATTGGTAATCTGGTCTCTTGTAATCATTAGTAGCGGAAGGTTGATAACCTGGTTTACTATAATCACTGGTAATAGGAGATTGGTAGCCGGGTTTTCTATAATCAGTGGTAGCAGAAGGTTGATAACCTGGTTTACTATAATCACTGGTAACAGAAGATTGGTAACCAGGTTTTTTATAATCACTGGTAGCGGAAGGTTGATAACCTGGTTGCCTATAATCACTGGTACCAAAGGATTGGGAACCAAATCCTCTGTATTCATTGACATCCACAGATTGTTCACCAGCTTGATAGTTACTATTACCCGGAGACTGTTGACCAGTTCCGATTGATTTAACATCACTGTAAATACCTGTAGGTGTATCAGTAACAGCCGAAGATCTGATAGGTTCGAAAGTACCAATAGGTCTATTAGTAACAGCAGCAGATTTGTTTGGTTGATACTGCCCAGTACCAGTGTATCTTACATCACTGTAAGACCCAGTAGGTCTATCAGTAACGGCAGAAGATTTGATCGGTTCGTAAGTACCGTTAGGTCTATCGGTAACAGCAGAGGACGTTATTGGTCGATATTGTCCACTTCCAATTGATTTGATATCACTTGAAAAGTCTGCAGGTCTGTCAGTAACAGCAGATGATCTAATTGGTTCAAAAGTGCCGGAAGTTACTGATTTTATTGGTTCGTAAGGTCTGTTGGTAACAGCAGAAGATAAAATTGGTTGGTTTGTATTATATAGATCAGCATTTAAAAGCGGTGCCAATGTGGTAGCATCCTGGTAAGGAGCTGTTGACCCCGAAAAACTTCCCGATGGTTGAGTAGTATAAGATCCAGAACCTGGAGTGGAACCTGAAATTACTGGATTATTATATCCAACATTACCGGCAAAAGCATTTTCTCCAATATTATTCAAATTTGGTCTTGGTCTGGGTGAAGTGCCAATTACATAACTGCCACTGCCGCCCAATTGAGCTGTTGTGATTCCAGTTCTCGTTGGTCCTGTTTTCGTGAATCCTTCTGGAGTAAAAACTCCCGCTCCGGAGAATTGTTGTGGATAAGTTGAAGCACCAGAGATTGTTCCACCGCTGTTGTCAAGACGTCCACCAGATACCTCGGAATCGGGAAGTGTCGACAGTGATGGTTGGAAATTTCGATAATCACTTTCGGGTATTTTAGTGACGATAAATCCATTATTGTATCGAATGGTACCACGACCACCATTGTCGTGATATTCATTGATCTTATAGCCGGAATTTTCTCTATTATCATAAACGGGAGTTGTTTGAGGACCAACGGGAATTGTTTTGGAACTAGTGCTACCGCGATAAGTTGTAATTATGGGATTGGCTATTCGATGATCTGCAGTAAAGAGATTTGGACCACGATATGTGGTTATTGGTGGACCAACTGTTACGGAATTTCCTGGATGAATTTCCGGCTGAATATTTTCTGACAATGCTACTCCTCCTGGAGAGGTTTGTCTTGACAAATAGTAATTTGGCGTTGTTTGTGCTCCATTTTGTGATTGACCCGTGAGAAAAACATTGTTCGAATATCGATTTGGATTCGAGTAACCCAAACCTGTATTTGCATTAACATATTCTGGTTGATTAATGCCGGTGACAATTTTTCCATCAGAATTTTCTGGAGCGTAGAAAGAGCCCGAGGATGATGCTGGAGGACTTACGAAACTGCCTGCAATTTTTCCGCCAGCTGGTCCCTCGAATTGACTAGAAGTTACTCCATTTGCAGAAGTGATATGAACCTGTGGATGACTGTTGGAAATTGTTTTATATCCAGCTTGATTGTAAATAGTCGTTGGAGTGGGTCCAGTGAAAGAAGTACTTCCAATTCCTACAGAATCAGCAGGAATTCTAGATCCATATCCACCTGTTGAATAGTCAACAGTTGGTTGATTAAAACCAGCTGATACATCTTTTGTAGCGCCATGGATAGTTGATTGGAATCGATCATCACCAGTTTGTTGCCTTGTGTTACTATAGTCAGATTGGGATCCTGATGAAGTAGAATATTTGTTATTATCTAGGTTAACTTTTCCGGAAGTTGAGAAACCTTGTTGAGCTTCGGAAAATGATGGACCAGTAGAGTATCCTTTATCTCTTGTTCCCGTGTATCCCTTATCTCTTGATCCAGTGTATCCTTTATCTCTTGATTCAATGTATCCTTCATCTCTTGATCCAGTATATCCTTCATCTCGTGATCTAGTATATCCTGTTCCAGTTTGATCAGTGTATGAATTTCCACCCGATGCCGTGGAATAAGCAGCTCCTGCCGAAGTACTTGAACTGTACGCAGGAGTCACAGGTCTTGTGACTCCTTTTATTTTTCCCGTGTAACCAGCATTAGCTAAATATCCAGATCCTCCTGATGAGCCTTCAGAAATAAATTCTGGTCGCGGTGTCGAATCTCCAGAATTAAGTCTCGATCCTGATGACGAATCTCCAGGACCTGGATACCTGGTTGTTCCTGAATACACCGCTTTATTCGAATATCCTCTAGTAGAATCATCTGATGCAATATTTTCAACTTTTACATTAGGATGACCTGTGTATTGTGGATTTTTATTAGCATATTGTGAACCATGTCTTCCTGAATAATCAGATCCTCGGTTTCCTCCCTCGGGAGACACGGCGACTCGATGTGATCCTGTTCCAATTTGTTTTCTACCAGGAGGGCCAGAAGATCCTGAATTAATTTTACCTGACGTGGCATGTTTTCTAAAGTCTGATGAAGCATTCTTTTTTGAACTTTCAATATAATCATAATTACCAACATGACTGTAATCACCAAGACTTTCTCCACTTTCATCATGTTCCATTGCTTTTGTTGTATGCTCTTCAGAACCAAACTCTAAACCAACAGTGGCATCGTGATCATCATGTTCGGATTTGTCATCTTTCTCTTTACTGTCATAACCAACGGTTGTGTAGTGATCATAATCCGTAGTTGGATGATAATAATCGGTAGTTGTATGATGATCATGATCAGTAGTTGTATGATGATTATATTCAGTAGTTGTGTGATGATTATATTCAGTAGTTGTATGATGATTATATTCAGTAGTTGTATGATGATCATAATCAGTAGTATGATGATCATAATCAGTAGTATGATGATTATAATCAGTAGTTGTATGATGATCATGATCAGTAGTTGTATGATGATGATGGTCAGTAGTTGTATGATGATCATAACCATGCCCGTCGTCCTTGTCATCGTGTTTATTGTGATCATCATAGCCATCATCCTTGTCTTTATGATCATCATCTTTTCCATTTTCATGTACATCGTATCCACCATGTTCACCACTGTGTTTCTCATCTTTGTCGTAATCATCATCCTTTCCACCGTGAGTGTCGTGATCATCATCTTTTCCTCCGTGGTCATAACCGTCATCCTTTCCGCCATGTTTGTCGTGACCATCATCTTTACCTCCGTGTTTGTCATGTCCATCGTCTTTTGTTCCGTGTCCTTTGCCGGGAAAAACTGGACTTGTGTCGTGTCCTCCATAATGCTCTTCAGAGTCATCTTTTCCATGATCATCGTGTCCTCCATTCCCACCATCGTGACCTCCGTGTCCTTTGTTTCCTCCGCTACCATTATGACCTTTGTGCCCTCCATTGCCATCATGCCCCTTATGTCCTCCAGATCCACCATGTCTTCCATTACCATCGTATCCTTTATGTCCTCCATTACCACCGTGTCCATTATGTCCTCCAGATCCACCGTGTCCATCATAACCTCCAGATCCACCATGTCCACCGTGTCCTCCATTACCATCTTGTCCTTTATGACCTCCAGATCCACCGTGTCCTCCATATCCTCCATTACCATCATGTCCCTTATGTCCTCCAGATCCACTGTGTCCATCATGTCCTCCAGATCCACCATATCCTCCATTTCCTCCATTACCTTTATGACCTCCAGATCCACCGTGTCCTCCAAATCCACCATATCCACCATGACCTCCTTTAACACCATTGTCACCAGATCCACCATGTCCTCCATGACCATGGTCTATCATTCCATAACTTCCTCCGGGAGAAACAGGACTCACATGATGTCCACCATAACCATCGTAATCACCATTCCCTCCGTAGCTTCCAAGTCCTCCATAATCACCCATTCCTCCATAGCTTCCTTCATGGCCTCCATTGTTTCCATTTCCCCCATGACCTTCATTTCCTCCGTGATCGTCATGACCTCCATAATCACCATGACCTCCATGATCTTCATGACCTCCATAATCACCATGACCTCCATAATCACCATGACCTCCATGATCTTCATGACCTCCATAATCTCCATGTCCTCCATGATCTTCATGACTGTCGTAATCACTATGTCCTCCATAATCATCATGTCCTCCATAGCCTCCAAAATGCGTATAAGTGTATCCACCACCTCCACATTTTGGCACCAGCCAAGGCCACTCGCAAATTAATTTATCTTCATCGAAGACAAGTCCAAACGGACAACGGAACTCATAGGGAATCATATGTGGTCCGCCTAAAAAAATGCACTTTAATTAAACGAAAGATTTATTCTAATGTTAAATTAATTAAAATTAATTTTTATATTTATAGAAATTGGATATTTTTATAAATTCAACATAATTTATACTATAATTTATATAATTATAAATAATTTAAATTAAATTCTATATTATTCATTATTAAAATTATATTTTATAAATTAACCTAAATCAAAACAGGCGAAAAACCATCGGCAATTTTGTGGATCAGCATAATATCCAGGATGGTCTGGACATTCGAATCTTGTTTTTGGCACGGGTGCAATTTCACTACTTCCTGGACATGGTGATCCTTTGGATAGTGATCCTGGCCATACACAAACTTCTGTTCTTTCATCGAATGCTAATCCTGCGGGACAATCAAATTCAAATACTGAATAATCGTCAATCTCCTGATTGAATTTTACACATCGATAAAATCTGTAAAAAAAAAAATTAATTTCATTTTTCATTTTTAGCGATTGATATATCATTTTTCTAAATTTTTGTATTGGTAGTACAGGATTGTATTAGACGAAATAGTTTATATTCTTATTTAAATTGAAAATCAGTGGTAAGAGTAAAATTCGATTTTTTTTCTAAATTGTTTAGTTTGGAAACAGTAGGTGAAGTCAGCTTCAGTCAGACAGCATAATATATTCGTGTATCAGTGGTAAAAGTCAGTTGCAGTCAGGCAATTTAATTCTTACGATAGTAAAAGCAGTAGTAAAAAATAGTTTTACATAGATAAAATAGTTCTTTTTCAGTAGTAAGAACAATTTTTAGTCAGACAGAAAAGATTCTTCTATAATTTTCATAAAATGAAATATTTAATTAAAACTTTTATACCTATTACAACTTTTTGGATGCACAAAATATCCCTGCCTTGTGCAAGAAAATTCTGTATGTGAATGCTCACGAATTGCATGAATGTGTCCTTTAGTATCAACGACTCGACTGATTCTATATCCACTTGGTTTCACATGACTTGGATAAGACAATTGCGTTGTCTTTGAAAAAAAGAAGATTAAATTTATTTAAAAGAAAATTTAATCAAAAATTCATCAGTATTTACAAGTTTTTGTGTCACATATTAAATTGAACAAAATTTTTTTAATTTAACTTAAAAAAAACTAATTTAAACTTTTAAAAAATTAATTTAAAAAAAAAATGTTAATTTAAATTTAAAAGAAAAATTTAATCTTGTAGAATATTTTAATGCCATCTGTTAGAAACATTGAAAAGCAACAGAAAATAATTTCTCAATAGTCAGAAGGTACGTTTGTTGTACGTTATTGCCTACAAGCAATTAGAAAGTAAATTCTTCTGTTGCTCCGAATTATCTTTACATAGAATCCTGAAAGTTTTTTCTTGACATTATAGATGGCAGTAGATACAAATATTTACTGAATATTTCAAATTCAAAAAAATAAAAAATAATTAAATTAAAATATTAAATCTTTTGTTCTATTATTTAATGATAAATATTTTGGTTTAATACAAATTCTTCAAATATATGGGACAATTTAACTAACTCACGTGCAATTCATTTTCAAGAGAAGATAGAACCGCTTGTCGTGTTTTTCTCTTCAAATTCGTAAAAGATTGAAAAATTTCCTGCGTAATGGGTTTACTGCAATTGTTCTTCCTATCATTTTCAATATCACGAATTCCTAATCCCGCGAGATCACGAAGAGAAACGTATTTTCCCTGTACAAAAAAAATGGATAAATTATTTTTTTACTTCTCAAAATTGAATATACTTGTTAATTTTTTCTTTACTTTAATTCCAATAGACGTTCGATCTTCAAAGGCAATCCAATCTTTATTCTTGAAAGCATAGGGTGCTGTGAGATCATCATCCCTTTCTAATGTCCATTCGTCAACGCTCATCAAATCGCATAGCTGAAAATATAATTTACATAAGTGAAATTTGCAAATTACATATATTGTAAACTTGTAAATATATTCACGAATAAGTAAAACACTTATTTAAATATTATTATTGAAATTTTTTTTTTATAATTTCCTTATTTGATAGATTGACAGGAAATATTTACTTGCCAAGATGTATATATGCAATCTCTCTCAACAATAAATCAAATATATAGAGAGTTTATAAATATTAATTTTTGAATATCAAGGAGAATCGATAATTTTTCATTTACGCTTATTAACTTTTTTTTTCATTTACAAAAAAACGACAGGTTTTCTTTTTCATCAAAGATCATTTTCTTTCAGTTCTAATATAGGAAATCGTTTACTGTAACTAACGGATTTATTTTTAGCGCATTGTCGATGACTTTTTTTTTGTAACATAATTTTTTCCAGACATTGAATAAGATTCGTTAGAAAAATTCGATAACAATAGAAGACATCGAACGATTACATTTTCTTTTTTGTCCGTCTAGTTCAATCGTTTTCAGTTTCAATTATTAATTATTTTTGCAATTAATTAATTATCTAACTTATGTTATAATTACTATTATTTTTTATTAACTATTTAATTTATTGTTTTTAATTTAATTTCTTTTTACATTTTATTCTATATAGATATTATTCTATGTTAATTGGAAATTAATTTTTACTCGGGTAAATATAATGTCTAATTGAGAATTAATTGTTAATTAAATTGAATTAATTTTATAAAATTAGTATAATTCAATAAAAAAAAAATTGTCTTTTTTTAGTTCTCTTTACCTGTTTTCGATCGAGGGTAGTGGGCTGTTTGTTATTCGTCGGCGATCTTGGAGTATTTTCTTTCTCGTCCTTGAGGGCAAATTTATAGGCACTTACTGGCACTGACATGATGATTTTTGATTTTGGCGCTCCCAAACCTATTATTAAATCGATCACACTGTCGGTATTGAGCATGTCGAACAAACCCATCAATCTTGAGGGATGAAATGTATAAAAAGCCTCTTCTTCATCCACCAAATAATGTGTTGATGTCGTAAAGAAATCAACATATCTAAAAGAAAACAAATTTTTACAAAAGGAAATTTTATAGATTTGTTATAAAAATTATTTCCCCTTTCTCGAAATTAAAAAAAAAGGTAATTAATAATTTTCGACCTTCAATTCTCAAAAAAAGAATCATTGCTTGTAAATACAAAAAAAATGAAAAAATCCTGAAAACAGTTTTTCAGAATGTTCTATATTGAATTAATTTGAATAATGATTCAGGAAAAGAATTACAAGCGTAACACGCCTGCCCATATACAGAGGATTGAAACTCATTCGTTCCTTAAATAGTTGCATTGAAAAAGAGACGAGCATAAGAAATTATTGCATATGATTAACGTGTGTAAGTTGATTCGACAGTAAAAATGTTTTTACTAAAGCATTCTTCTTCGCTCATTAACATCCAAGGTGGACATAGAAATAAAGAATATAAATCTGGTATAAATTTTAATAGGATTACTTAAGAGCTTGAATTTATGTTTTCGCATCTTTGCAACAAAAAAATAATTACTTTATAAATTGAAATAATTTATATCATTTTACTGAGGATTTATTAATAAATTAAAACGTAAAATAACAAGTTTTACAAAAAACGCTTTAAAACTAATCATAGATTATTAATCTAAGATTTCGAGTCGATAAGATTAGAGAAAATATTTAAATTAATTTTTTGTAATAATTAATAGCAAAGATTTAGAAGTAAAACAAAATAATCATCTTTAATGAATAACTTACTTGGAAAGCTCCTTAATATCAAATTGCTTTGCCAACAGTTCTGGTTTTGCGGGCAACGCAAGAAAAATGACCTTCTCATTGGATTTTCTGATCATCTCGTCCTTCAACCCTTTCACGAAGTGGACGAGACGTTCTTTTGAGCCGGCAGTTACGTTCAACTCAACCCCATCGACCTTCAACAGAATCATAAAAGTGAAGAACTTGAAGAATGAAGATGACTATAAAAAATATATATTTTATAAAGAATAGTGTTGGAATTTAAGGGGCTCATTTTTATATTTCAGAGATGATAAAAACAATTCAACATTTTCTCCGAATAAATAAACCAAGCAATGTAAAAAAAAAATAAAATGTAAAAAAAATTTTAAAAAATTTATAGTAAAAAAATTATAGAAAAAAATCTGTTTTTTTATTTTTTCAAAAGGAACGTAATACTCCCACATGAAAGCGGCAATTTTTTTAACAATAAACATTGAAGAAAGTAAAAATGCGAAATTCTCCACAAGGCGAATGCTCAGAGCGACGACCATAATAATCAGTGAATAGTCGTTACTTTCATAATCGTGCAATTGTCCATGGAATTCTTCCTTACTTATTTATAAGCTTTCCGATCAATTTCCAAGTAGCTTCTTCTTGCTACTTGTTCTTGTTCCTTTTTTTTTCTTTTTTCTTTCTTTATAGGGAATGCTGTCAAGAAGAGCAAAAACTGATTTAATGCAACAAGATTCTGTTCCATTTAAAGTCATACGTCAGTCTAGGACGTAGACATAATTCCATTACAAGTGCTCCAACTCATTTTTCCCCTCTATTTTTAGATTCTTTGAATAATAAATTGAAAATTTGCATATATGTTAGACTTCTTTTTTTTTTGGTCTTATTTCTGGCCTGGTGTGTAAAGTTAATAAAATTTGAAATTTTTACCACATTTTTAATTTGCAAAAATAATTATATTCATTCATTTCTTTTTTTTATCAATTTTGTTACATTTTTGACGAAATGTGCTCTAGTTTTGAGTAACTATTTTTTCCTTCCTTTGTATTTAATTGTCGTACATTTATAATCATAAAATAAATCACTAAACAAAAAAAAAATTGTGAAGTAAGAGAAAAATAATATAAATTAAGTTTGATACTAAATTGAGAAAGTTATCCTAACAATTCCAAGATCGCAAGTTCCGGTTGTCGTAGAATCTGTGTAAAAAAAAACTAGCGGTGATTAGATCCAGAACGTAACATGACATAACAAATCATTCATCATTATGTCTCGATCAGTTAATCATATAATATAAAAGATGCTGCTATAATTATTGAACATTACCGCAAATCTGTTTATATTTTATCTTTATTTTTCGTCAATTTTTTTCCTGATTTTCTTGCTAAAATTGTTAATTTTTTTCTGTTTTGAATTTTTTTTTCTCAGAAAATTAATAAAATTATAAAATAAAAAAATTGAGAAAAATATATTTACCTCAGTCAAAATTGTTGCCAAACGTGTTGCAGCTTCCTGTCGCATAAGACCGGAAGTTTTGAGAAAACCACGTTCATCATTAACGGCAAGAATAAATCGAAGATCATGTTTTTTCTCTTTCAAAGAATTTCGTAGATCCTTGAATCCTGTAAATTACAATTTTTTCTTGAATTAAAAGGGATTATTGCATAACACATTTGATTCATCGCGCGCACATTGAACTAGATTCTCGTCCTGTTTAAAAAAAAAAACCAGTCGACTATAATAGGATTCATCGAATCTCGCGCGTAAATTTGTGCTACTTTACAAAACGATCAATTGAAAAATATATATATATATATAAAAAGTAGACAAACCACATTATAGATTATTTGTCGTTTTATTAAACAGAATGACGCCATTCTTTGATTACTTACTGTCATTTTTTCTATATAAAATGTCCTAACGGTGATAAGTCCTCAATGATAATGAATAAAAAATTGTATATATATGATTTAATAGAAAAAAAAAAATTCTAGAGAGTAATTTAAAAAATTTATTTTTAAAAATTGAAAATAAAATTTTTTTTTTGGTAAAGAAATTTTTATTAAATTCGAATAATTTTTTTTTCTTCATTAAAAAATAATCATAATGATTATAATAAAAATTATTTATTTCAATGCGTGAACAATAATATTCTTAAAAAAAAGATTTTATCATTTAAATGAATAATATTCCTGTTAATTTTGATACATGCGAATATGAATGAATTTAATTTCCTGAAATGTGAATCAATATGTCTAAAGGATATACATATTATAAATTATAAAAGATAAATTGTTGGTAGGTATATAACACCAATTAGTAGGAAAGTTGAGCGATTAGTTCTTTAAAGGCAGGAATCCCGTTTATGTCGACGATAACGATTACCGATAGCTGGAAGTAAGTCCCAAGCAATGAAATCGAAACTAATGATAGATGTCTTAATTGAGGGAGATATATATATATATAGTTCGTAAATGATTTTTATTTCATTGTGTATCGACTTTTAATTACAATGGGAATTTGAAAGGTTTTTTGCCATTTCTTCCTTTCAATATTATATATATATATATATATATATATATAAAAAGACAAAGCTATATATGAGGTTTCACTTATGATGAAACTTGGAATTGCTCATGCTGTCCACCTGACTTGCTTGAAAAAAATAGATTTTCTTGAATGAAACAATTTTTTTTCTCTATTTATTTCAAAATAAAAAAAAAAAGAAACTTGCGAACTTTTGTTTACAAAGTGTCTTCAAACGAACTAATTTCCATTTAAATATAGTAGATGATTCCATTTTTATAAACCTACTATTGGCGTTAAAATACGATTACGTATTTTATTCTTTTTAAAAAGTGATTAAAAAAAAACATTATTCTATATAAGAGAAAAATCCTGAGAAAAAGTCTTGAAAAAGGAAATTATTTTTCTTCATTGAGATTTCAATCTGTTGACTTGTAAATGAATTAAAAGTCATTTTTTTGAATCATTTGAAAAAAATTTAATAATCCAAATTGTTAAATTTTACTATAAAAATTAATATATTTTACTAATTTCATAAAGATAATTAGAATGATTTTGATAAATTAAAATTAGTACTATTTTTGTAATAATTCATTATTATTATTATATTAATTTAAATTGATAATTACTTAAATTAAAAAATATTGTAAAAATTCAAATATTTCTTCAAGCAGTAAAATCGTAAATGTCTTGCTAATTAAATTATTATTCTAAAAAAAAAACAAAGGAAAAACAAAGAAAAAAAAGATGTAAATGAGTTGAATGATAATGACCTCTGTTCTGCACGATTTCCTTATTAAAGAGTAAAATAGCATCTCAACCACGTGCTAAACGACTTTCGGTATCAATAAAATTATGATTATTTCGGGCACTGTCTGGAACAAATTACTTTCACTTTTATATATCGTTACCGTTTCTTTCTCATGTAACTTGAATATAATTTGTAGTCGCACACTTTATCGTTTACTTTTAATGATGAAAAAAATTTAATTTTACATTTATCCCCCCGGGTTATTGATAATTTGGTATATTAATCAATATCTTCCGTAAGTTATAAACTATATAATATTAAAATTTTTTATGAAAATTCATTTATCACAATAGTCTAAAATTTATGATGAGAAAATATATATTAATTAATATATTAAAATTATAATAATTAATATAATAATAATTTTTGTTATTTTTAGTATTATTATCAAGTATATAGAAAATGATACAAACTATTAAGAAATATATACTATTTTTTATTGAAAAAAAAAATAGTTTTCTATAAAAATGATCTTTAATCGAAAATCAACTTTTGATCTTTAATTAAGTTTGATATCATAAGCACCAAAAGTTTAATTAGAAATGTCAAGTTTGTCTCACGAGTTTTATGTTTAATTTAGATCACAATAGGCTTCAATTAAATATATACATACAGAGAGCAATAAATGCCTATTTATAGTTAAATTGTGTATAAATAATTTTTAATTTTTCGAGTTTTAGTTAAGATTATTATAACTTTATAAGATAATAATAATAATTTTATTTATTTAATTACGATTAATTACAAGTATATAATATTATAATAATAAAAATTATTATAAATATTGTTGAATTAAATATATAAATGTCTGTAATTAATTTGTGTGGTATAAAAATAAAATGTATATATATAAATGCTAATGAGGTTTTAGAACTTTGATTAATTACTTAATCTAATGTATCTAAATGATCAATAAACATAATAACTTTCGCTATATATAGTGAAATTGAAAGTTGAGTTCAAATTCAAGTTTATGATAAATTTTATTATACGAATAATTTTTTTAATGAGATAGTGCAATTCTTCGTGGATCGTTGAATTTTATAAATTTAGCTCTTTCACACCCGCTTAATCTTAAATTGTTTTATAATAAAATCCATAAAGCATCAAAATTTTCTATATTTAAATATAAAAAAAAAAAAAAATTGTGAAAAGTTTTTTTCTTTATATTGAAAAAAAATAAAACCGAATTTTTCGAAATTTTAATATGATTATATAAATAATTGTTTATAATAATAATAATAATAAATAATAATAAATAAACAAAATATAGTAATCAAATTTATATATATAAAAAAAAATAATTTTCATTAAAAACTATCATCAGCAATAAATATAAATTACATGTGAGGAAGTACAATCGAAAGGATGTAATAGACTGTAATTATATCGAAATCAATAATTTTACACAACTATTTTGGCAAAATTCATTGCCTTGTTATTTTAGAGAAGTTAAATTACTCGCGATTCTTGTTGTCCTTGTCCCAGTTATATTCAATAAAACTTCCCTTTTTCTTAGAAGAAAATAAGGATAATTAGAATTATTGCAGTGATATTTTATTAATTTAAAAAAAAGTAAAAAAAAATGAGTGTTAATTAAAAAAAGAAAAAGTAAATAAAAAATAAAGAAAATATATATGACATAATATACGTGAAAGAGACGATGTAAAGAGAAAGGAAATTAATTATATATAGTTATACCAGATAATATGTGAAAATTATTATACACTGGACATAATAATGAATTTATTTTGCGACATGAAGGTTTTGACTCGATCCTCATAGGATACAATATCCTGTTGCAAGTGCAAGGTTGAGTTTACGGTATGCGGTTATAGGATTCCTCGAATGTGAGTATATCTTGCGCATGGCCTTGCACTTTAATGATAATCTCATTGAAGACACGGAAAAGTCATATATTATATAAATCGCGTAATTTATATAGAGAGACGCAAAGCTCAGGATATTATTTTGCAAAATTTATTGTATTTTTAATTATTATTATTATTATTATTTTATTTAAAATTTCATTATTTATAAATAATATCTAAAAATTGTATTATCAACAAAAATTATTTTACAATAATCATACCAAAAATGGAGATAAGTGAAGCTATCAATCATTTGCTACTGTTATAATAATTGAAGTTATTGCTATATGAGTAATTACAAAAAAATTTTGAAATTAAACAAAATATTATTTGAATTTTGTATTTGCAAAAGAGGAATAAAAAAAAAGAAAGAAACCAAAAAAAAAAAAAAAACTTAAGAAAATTTTTAATTTTGTACATCTAAAGTAAAAGATTGTTAATCAATATATAGAGAGAAAAAATTGTATATGACAAAAAGAGAAGAAATAATTTGCAAAAAAAATCTTACCGGTATCAGGTAGATTCTGAATATCGTGACCTTGATGAACTAAAACTGTACAACTGCAGATAACATCTTCCAATCGTTGTATGTTGTAACTTTCAGTGTAACAGAGAATTTCCTTGCCTGGTGAATTTCTTTGCCTCGGACATTCTGAAAATGTAAAAAACAAATTCTTAGATTCAAATAATATTTGAAAAAAAAATAAATACAAATTAAAAAAAAATAAATACAAATTAAAAAAAAAATAAAGAAAAATTGGTACATCTATGAAATAAAAAATAATTGAAAGAACCGGTTAAAAAATATTAGAATCTTTTTCTAATTAACATACTCGCCCTGATTACAATGTTTATATACATTGATTAAACATCGATAGTGAAAAGAGAATAAATGAATGAAACTAACTTATCCCTTTCTCATCCAAGAAATTACAGGATAAATAAAATTTATAATTGTAATAAAAAAGATAATAAACGATACTTCTTATATATCCTACAAATGAAGTTGACTCAAATGACAACATTTTCTGTGATGTGCAAGCAAATGAATACAATTTCTCGCCTAAAAAAAAAAACTTATCGTGAATTGAACATTAAAATTTTATTTTTACATTTTCATTTATATTATAAAAAAAAGAATAAATAAAAATTAGTAAAATTACCACAAAAATTTATAAAAAAATAAATATCTAAATATTGAAAAAAAAATAAATATCAATAAATAATACTATACGAACAAAAAATGGTACAAATAAAATTAATTTGTAATTGCTATTGCGAGCAAGAATTTCTAAGGAAATGTATATACAATCATTGCTCCGTTTATATGGAATATTTCCATTTTAAGTAAAGAATATAGAGAAAAAAAAGTGAAGTAATTGACATGATATATGTGAAAGAGTTGTTTAATTAAGAACTAATTCATATTTTTTTCCCCAAAAAAAAGAAATTAACGCCATAAATCAAGAAAACGGAATCTCGATATAACAATAAAAAGATGTATGCGAAGTTTTTTCTTATTGTTTTAACTGTGCGTATATATATATATATATTGAAAATAAGTTTTGATATTACGTGCATATTATATATTATTTTTAATACCTCTTCCTTCCTGGAAGTAATTTTTTGCACTTATTCTCTCACTCATCAATCTAATTTGGTATGTCAAAAAATTTCAATTTTCTTATTTTCAATCGACTTTTTTGTTGAAAGTAAAAGTAAATTAAGAAGGAATTTATTGGCATATTAAATTAATTTATTATATATAAATATTTATGATCATCATTTATATTCACTTCATATATACATATATATATATAAATAATCTATAATAAATGTTGATAGCCGGTCAATTAGAATATATAATTTTTTTATCTCAAATTTTCTCGAAAAGAAAAATTCGTAATTGAAGACGAAAACCAAAACAATTTTTTTTCTATTCTTTCTTTTAAAAATTTTTATAATATTTTTTTTCTGTTCTATTTTCTATTCTTTTTTTTTTCTTCTTTCTATATATTATTTTATTTTACAATGTAAATGGGCTTACAAAAATAATAATAATAAAATATTGTCATTTTTAAAATTATAATGTGAGATAAATTATCAAAATCAAAAAAGGATTATAAATATTTTTGTTTCAAGAGTATAATATGAAGAGACTATCAAAAAACAAAAAATTTTTTTTTTCAATATAAAGTATTTTCTGAGTGAAGATTCTGTATGGTTTTTTTAATTCTAAAATATATAGTTGTTTTGGGATGCCATTTATATGAATAAGAAATTAAAATTTTGTGACACATATGGCGTTGTCCTTGTGAGATTGTCTGCTCCATTTATCGGTTTCGCAACCCTATACTTAGAGAATACAACGAAATGCTCTTGATCATTAAGATCAATGCATCATTTTCGATTTCTCTCGATATAATCTCATATATATATATTTATATTATTTATTTATACGCGTGACATTGAATAAAAATATTCCATCAATGTGAAGATAATGACAAATATATTAAATAAAATTACGATTTTTTTTTTGAACGGATAAATTTGCCACTAATTGACAACTAAAATTAAATCGTATATATATGTATTAATTGTTTAATTAACGAACCTAATTGATAGTTTTTCCAAGGAAATAAAAATACAAATTAATTTAAAAAGAAAATTGAAAGTGGAAAAATAAATTCATTTATAATAAAAATAGTTTAATAAAAGAAATGTTTTCTTTATCAATTATAAAATTAGCAATAGTTTACTTATAATTTGATTAAGATAAATAACAGTCATTAAAAGTTATACTACTTCCTAATTCTTTCAACTTTAAAAAAAATAAAAATAAAAAATATTTTATGTTGCATTTTTTTTTACGTTGGTTTACCAGATCAATTGTTAGTTTTCGAACAATAATAATTTTCAAGTTTATTCAAATATATTCATGCAAAACGATTTTAAATATTATATGTGTGGACGTTCATTGATCCGTGCAAGAAAATCATTTTACGAATTATTACCGTTCAAGATTCCACTTTTCAGTTAATAGATATATGTACTGCAAAAAAAATGTAATAATGTAGATTTGGTGAAAGAACGAAAATTGTTATTTTTTTTTTCAAAAGTTACAACAGGAAGTTGAATTTTAACAATGAATAATGAATTATGTATATATGCAACATTATAAAGGAAGTCATACTTCACTTCATGATGATACCATTTTAGTAATAATTTATCCTCTTGGAAGAATGGGTTTTAATCTTTTAATTGCTCAATAGATAAAAGGGAAAACAAATTTTTTTAACATTATAGAAAATTATTTATTTAAACTACTGATAGTATTTAAGTATTTTTAACGATTTTCGAATCTTAAAATAAAAAATCTGGAAACATTATTAATTTGTTAGTCACTTATTTAATTAAAATAGTTTATTAATTATTCAGCTAATCCAGAAAAAAAGTTATCAAAAAGTTAAAAAAAAAACTGTTTCTCTCGAAACAATCAAAAGTGAATTTAATTTCATTAAATAGATTAATTAATTATTAAAGAGGAATTATCTTTTGCATCTGAATTTTTTCTATTATATTTTTTATATGGTATAACACGTTTTTCCAGTTGTTTTATCTATAAAATGTAATACCGTTAACAGTTTATCGTAATCAACTATTTTTCAATTTATTTATAACAAAGTGTTGAATAATTTTTTCTTTTTACCAAACTTTTGATTTTTAAACAAAACTCTTTATGCTGGAAATTGAAAAAAATTCCTTTTTTTGTACTAAATTAATTATCATAAATTATTACCATTAAATTATAATTTAGCACTGAAAAAAGTGTTTGGTATTCACAACCAAATGCTTGGTTGGTATTTAAGCAACCAAAATTTTTTTTCTTGAATCAACAAAATTTTGGTTGTCCCAATAAAACTTTAGTTAGGACAACAAAAATCCTTTTTTTCTAATTTTGGTTGTGTCAAACAAATTTTGGTTGAAACAATTAAAATTTTTGTTGATTCAACAAAAAAATTTTGGTTGCTTAAATACCAACCAAACGTTTGGTTGTCAATACCAAACCCTTTTTTCAGTGAGTACTTCTAGTACCAAAAAGGTATTTTATTATTTTTTCAGCAAAAATTTTTGTCTAATTACCAATAACTTATTGTTGACAATTAATTAATTAATTAATTTTTAACAATAATACTTTATATAAAAAAAATAATAATTTGACATTTGTAAATAATAATTAATAATTTTTTTAAAATAAAAATTAAATCACTTTTTAAAGTAATTTATGTTATGTATTATTAATTAATTTTGAACAAAGGCTTCGATGATGAGTGTCTAGAATTATTCTCATTTGTCATAGAAACAAAATCATAAATTATATTCCGAGCACGCTTTATTGATTTTTATGACAATCACTTTTTTTGCAATAATTGCAATTATATTGTTGTCACTTTGAACAGTCTTTTCAGATAATAAATTATTATCCTAACATTAATTATTATTTTTTGATATTATTCCTAAAAGGGTAGTTTCAATTGAGTGTAAGAAAATTTCTTTACAAAGAAGAAAAATAATTTTTTTTTTATTATTATTAAAAAAAAATAACTTTTTTGTAAATAAATTAATATTTTTTTTTAAAAAAAGCCTTTTGAATATTATTCTTTAAAGAAAAATTAAATAATTATTAAAAAAAATTAATATTTAAAAATTTTTTTACAAATATTTTTTTGTTGAAAATATCTTAAAAAAAAATTTAGAAATATAAAACTGGAGCACTAAATTTATTATAAATATAAGATATTGGTGCAGAATTTTTTTTTTTTTCATTTGACTCACTTGCAGCAAATCCAATGTGCAGCAACCCCAATAAAAGGGACAGTAGCCAAAGTCGCCCCATCCCTTTTTTCCCTCACTTTCCTCACTTTTCGCTGTTAATATGAAAACAAATTTTTTTTTTCTCAAGAACGCTCGCGAGAATAAATATCCACACGATTTAAAGTGTCACAATTGTCACAAAAATTCAAAGCTCCTGACATCGGAGCTATCTGCTATAAATTGCAAAATTTAATCGATTTCAAATTATATAAAAAAAAAAAAATTTCCTAAATAGAAAAATTATTTTATTTATATAGTTATATATTGAAAGTGTCAATAAAAAGAAAAGTGAAATATTTTTCTTTTTCTCTTCGAGGGGGCAAAACACCTTTGAGTGAGAAATTCTGTAACTGAATATATATAACCCTCCTGAGGTAGTTGGTGTGTTCGGCAATAGACTTAAGACTATAGTGAACCACGGGTGCAAGATCGAATGTGAGCGTAAGCGCCAAAGTCACTCCCTGCCTTGAGAGATCAAGATTCCTCTCCTTCCAGGACGAACAGTAGATCCACATAACGCGCACGACGACGAGGACCGAGGTCGTCGGACCTTCCTTCCGTCACACACAATAAATACTTCGAGAAGGGGTTCAAAATCTGCCCCAGTTTCTTTCATTAAATTTTTTCAATTATAGTCCAACTTTTACAGAATAAGATTTTTTTTTTTATTTCTTCTTCTTCTTCTTCTTATTTTGTTGCTATTTAATTTTTCATTCTTCGAAATCGAAGGACAATGATATAAGCATTTAAAAAATTTGTCTTATGAGAATTGAACAAAATTATCAAATTAAGAGGAATAATTGATTTCCATATTTTCTTAATTTTTAATTAAAAAGGGGTGATATTTAATTTTTTAGTTTCTTAAAATTCTCAGATTGGAAGAAATGTATTTTTTTTTACATTTACCTCTGAAAATGAGAATATTTTTCTACCTAGGCTATTTATTCTTGAATCAAGAGGAGGAGGAGGATTATTTTCAAAATTACAAAATACAAGATTTATAATTTTAAAATATCTCCTAAATTAAAAGAAAAATTTCCATTTTTTTTTTTTTTAAATTATCTTCTCAAATGAAGAATATTTTTCTGCCTCACTAGGCTATTTTTTCTTGATTTAAAAGGAGAATAATCCTGTCAAATTAAGGGGAGTCACAACCTTTATTTTGATCCACTTAAATTTAAATTATTAAATGAGATTATATTTTTTTTCTTGCATCATTACCCAAAAACATGTAAGGTAGTCAAAAAAAGAAAATTTTATTTTTTGACCATTTTAGAATTTTTATTTTTTAAAAAAAAATTAATATTTTTGAAAATCCATGCGAGAGATTCTAAAGAATTATATTAAAAAAGTGTGGAAAAAATTTGACGATAAAAAATACTTAAAATTGTGATAGAAGATATATTTTAATAGAAGAGTGCAAATGATGTTTTAACTTATATTTTTCTTTCTTTTTTTAAAAAAATTAAAATTTTTGAAAATTCATGCGAGAGATTCTTAAGAATCATTAAAAAAGCGTGGAAAAAAATTGGCGATGAAAAATAATCAAAATTGAAAAAGAAGATAGATATTTAAAATATTAATTTTTTTAAGAAATTAATTTCTAAAATGGTCAAAAATTAAAATTTTATTTTTTTTACCATCATGTATGTTTTTAGGACCCAAATAATACAAGAAAAAAAAAATCTTTCTACGATCATGAAAATGTAAAGGATTCAAAATGAAGGTTGTGACAACCCTTAATGAATTTCCATTAAGTTTTACATTCTCAAAATTGTCAAATTAATATAAAAATAAATTGACTTCTGAATTTTTTTACGTTTTCTTCTCAAAAGGAGAAGAATTTTTTTTTGCAAAAAAAATTTGAGGATTTGTTTGCTAAGGGTTGTCAGTCACCTATAGGAGTGCGGTTCATCGGAGCAAACTACCGTTGCAATTTTGTATTGGAATAAACGTTCCCTCGCGCGATTACAATAGTGTTTGCCTGTTGGTAAAGAATTCGCAATGAATCTCTATATAAGAGATAAAATCGCAAAGTTGATATGCTAATAGTCCATTATAATATCTGTTACCGTCTGGCGAGTTTTCTGATGATTATAATATCGGAATCCCACTTCCAATATACATATACATAGATAAAAAAAAAACTAATTTTTCTTATTAAAAATACTCTAAAGATTTTATCTTATCACAAAAACATTTATCTCAGAGCCAAATAAATATTTATTTGTTTTAAATAAATTTTTACTTTTGGTTCACATAAATTTTTCTATTTTTCGTTCAAATAATTTTCATTTGTCCCAATTCAAATTTTATTATTTGAAACAAATAAATATGTTATAATTTTTACAAATATATTTTTATTTAATTCAATTATATTTGGTTTGAATAAAAAACTTCTCTACACTGAAAAAAAGTATCCTTGATTTAAGAAAATCATTTACTTGTCCATATTTGATAATTAATAATATTAATTAAATTAATTTTTTTAATTTGAAAAAAATTTATTTCAAAGTAGTAAAATTTTCTTGGATCAAGAAAATATTGAATCAAATACGAATAAGTAAATGGGTTTCAATACTACTTTTTCCAGTGTTCTGTTAAAAACCATTTTTTTTTTGTTTCTATACATCAAAATTAATTAATTTTATTATATAAACAAAACAAAAATTTTTTTTAAACAGCTATTGGCAATTTTTTTAAATTTGTTTTTAAAAAAAAAGTATTTTAAAGTAAAAGAAGAAATTGACAAACGCATTACTAAATAAAAATTGATTGATGCATGTTGAAATAGAAATAAAATGGATGTTAATCGATGATTCTATATATCAAAATAGAAATTGATAAAGACGCGCAAAATCAACGAGAAGATGAATATACTTTGGCATTTAAAGATTCTATACACAAGATTAATGCATCATCATCATTTAAGGACGTCTGATGTGAAGCATCAGGATCATCAACGAATTTTTGAAAGTTTTATATTTTGTTCTCATTTGCGAAATTACATCACATTAAAAAAATTCATCTGTCTGAATATATTTTTTACTTTGAACAAAAAAAAAAAAATATATAATAATATGGTTAAACTTAAATCATAACAAGCCAAATTAATCTTTGCTTTTATCAACTGCACGCGCATTAAGATAAAAAGTGTCTGCTTCATTGAAACAAGAGATGCTACTTTCATCTGTGGGATTAAATTTCCTGTGACGTCAGAGAGGTGAAAAAAAGATTTTTCGGTTATTTATTTATTTTTTATTTCATTATAATAAAAACACCTCCGTAAGAAAAAGAATAATTTTGAGAAGAAGAAAAAAAAATGTTTGCCTGAAGAAATGCTTATATTTAATCAATTATATAATTAATTGATCTTGATTGGTAATCGATATGCCGATAGCAAAATTGAATAACAATATTTAGCTTAAGGGGCTTTCACACTTTTTTTTTATATAAATAAATAATGTGTCACGAATTTTATTATATTGTACATAAACAGGAATTCATCAAGTTATTTGATAAAGGACAAAGAGGAAAACAAAAAGAAAAAGAGACTACGAGAACTCGTCGTTTTATTTTTATTATTTTCCCCATTGCGACAGAAATAATTGCCAAGCAGGTCAGATAGAAATTATTACACGTTTGTATAATAGTTGTTGCTGATTGCGATGCGTTCAAATTTTTTTTTTTTTTTTTTTTTAATAAACAACTCCCGGAATTCTATATTGGAATTTCAGTTTTGGTTCCGTTATTCTTTTTTATTCCTTCGTTTTATATTTCAATTTTTCTATATGTAAAATTAACATTTACTTATTCTAATATACAAAATTAATTATAATATAAAATACACAGAGTCCTAATTTTGCAAAAAAAAAAAAAAAATAAATAACAACCTTGTGTCGCAAGGGCAAAAAAAACAATGCGATCATTTTTTTTTCACGCTGTGTGGGACATAAAAAAATATTAAAAAATAGTCATGTCACACTTTTCGAAAGGCTAAATCTCTCGCCATTGGGGCGAATGTATATAGGTAATTTTAAAGGATCATTGCTTTTAGTAAAATTGAGAGTGGTCTATAATAATAAGACGATATATATAAAAGCACACAGCTCGTCAATCATGAATATATTGCTTTAGGCAGGTCTGGTGTAATACTGACATGAGTATAATATAGAATAAGGGAAAGGTATATTTTAGAAAATTACAAATCCCCTTGCATAAAATTCAATATGCATAATCATTATAAAAAAAAAGAAAATAAAATCAAATTGATCAAGAGGTCAAAAAAATTTTTTTTTATGAAAACTATCTCATTTTTTAGTTCACGTTTATTTTAATTTATTCTTATATACTATCACGTTTAATTAATTTTATCGCGTTATAATAACACTTCTGTCGAAAGCTATTATATTTGAAATTATTTGCAATTAATTATCGTCATTTTTATTTATAATATATATTATATAGTATATATAAATGGAATATTATATATATTGAGAATAATATCAAATAATTTTGCTGAATTTTATAAAAAAAAAAAAATGGAGATTCATATAATTCAGGAATACTTTCCCACGTAAAACGGAGGTGCGAGTCTCTAATATATATATATATATAAAATTGTGCAAGCAATAATAACGATAATTATTTTATATAAAACTATATCGCAGATTTTTTGCTTTTTAAAAAGTTACTCATTTTTTTTTTTTTTGCTTGCGAAAAAAAAATTCTTTATCACATTATATATATGTGAATGTGACATTTCTCCTTTAAATTTTATTTAAAATCTAAATTAATTTGAAAAATTGTTCATTATTTTTTATTTTCAGTTTTTTTTTTCTTGTTAATTTTTATTATAGGCAATTTCATTATTTATTTTTGACAATAAATGTTTTTTTGTATCGCTTTAATTTATTGAAAAATATTTGGACAATGAGAAGAATGTGAAGCAACGTAAAGGCGAATATAATTTGTAACAATTTCGTATATTATAACGATTAACGGTTATTTTTCATTGCACTTTAAATATATCAGCGTGGGTATATAACCTTTCTCCAAAAAAAATTGCTTGTCATTTCTCTCTCTTTCTCTTCTCTCGCAGAAAGAAAGCCAAAAATATAAAGTACGAAAATTATGTTTGCAGAATAATAATAAATTTCTGTGTGGTAAAATTTCGGTTTTATAATTTAATACTTTTTTTTACAATTAAAAATTTTTTCTATATCAGTGTTTGTTTTCTTTTTTATTTTTAAATATATAAAAAAAGTATATCATGAAAAAAACGCACTCAATTTTGATTTTCTTATGTTATTAATTTTTATTTTCTGTATCAAAAAAAGTAGAAAGGAAAAATTGAAGAAAAGTGTTTGCAAGACAAAAATAATATGGTTCGAGTCTTCGAGATTTTTCG